GATCTTCTCCAGCCTTGGTGATTCCTGGGGCTGACGCCCAGCCCTCGTGTCCCTGGGCTGTCCCTGCTTCCCCAGGCCGAGTGTCCCAGCACGGTTCCACATCCCCTTCCTGTGATCATCTCTGGCTTTTCAGGGACTGATGAGCACGGGCTGAAGATCCAACAGGCTGCAGCTGCAGCAGGAACCTCACCCCCAGAACTCTGTGCACGGATCTCAGCACTGTTCCACCAGGCCTTCACCCAGGCAGCCATCTCCTTCACTGACTTCATTCGCACCAGTGAGCCCCGTCACTGCCAAGCTGTGTGTCACTTCTGGGCTGCCCTGCAGGAGCGCGGGGCTCTCTACAAGGGGACCTATGAGGGGTGGTACTGCATGGCAGAGGAGGGCTTCCTGCCTGAAAGTCAGCTCACGGAGCGGGTGGATGCCCAGGGCTGCACACACAAGGTGTCTGCGGAGTCTGGCCATGAGGTAACAGCACCCCTGTTTTGCTGACCAAGTTTAGGCTGTTCTGTATGAGTGCTGCACGCCTGTTATTTTGTTCTAAAAAGAAAATACTGTCTGTGTAGTGCTTCAGCTGAGACTTGCCTTGATTTCAAAGCGTGTTCTCTATGTCTCACAGCTGTGTTTGGTTATATGGGAGAGAGCTGCCAATGGGATCCCAAACGCCAAGGGTCGGGTGCAGATTTCAGCCTTGTGGCATGGAAGGAATTCTGCTGCTGCAGAATGGGCTGTTGGCTTGGAAACAGTGTTTTAAAGTGGCGATGAAAGGAGTTGGGTGAAAGAAGAGTAAAGCTGTTCATGAGTGAGCTGTTTGTTGCTAGTCTCACCATTGAATAGCATTGGAATCAGGAGTGTGGGTACCTGACCTAATGTGTCTCTACCACTGTTTTTCTTATACAGTGTCAGAGGTTGCATGATTTAACTCAACTGTGGCAGATAATCATACTTCAAAGCTAAGCAGAGATTAATCTCCTTTGGTATATGTTCAAGACTGAGGTATACAAGTGTTGGCTCACACAGAAGGAGAAAGGCTGTAAAATAGCGTATCTTGATAAAGCACACAAGGTGGTTGAGGGAAAAGATCAGTTTTATGGCAAAGAAAGCAGCCTTAGATCTAAAACAGAGGCAGCAGGCTTCGGAACCCTGATTGCAAGTTGTTGAAACAAGTTGTTTCATTGAAACTGTTGAGTTGATGGTGAAGAGAAGCATTTCTAGAGGAACTCGAACCGAGTACGCTGTGTGCAAACTGTGAAACCATTCACAAGCATTTGAGCTCTAATTTTTTTTCTCTCCTGTGTTCTCAGGTGCACTGGACCAAAGAGGAGAATTACATGTTCAAGCTGTCTGCGTTCCAGGACCCGCTGCAGAAGTGGCTCCGTGACAACCCACGTGCCATTTCCCCCGAGCCTTTCTACCAGCGTGTGCTTTGCTGGCTGGGAGAGGACTTGCCAGATTTGTCCATCTCACGTGAGAGAAGCCGGTTGCAGTGGGGTATCCCTGTCCCCAGTGACTCAACGCAAACTATTTACGTATGGGTAGATGCCTTAGTGAATTATTTGAGTGTTCTGGGCTACCCTGAGACGCACGGTGAGTGGTGGCCTGCTGCACACCATGTGGTGGGCAAGGACATCCTCAAATTTCATGCTGTCTACTGGCCAGCACTGCTGATGGCAGCTGGGCTGTCCCCTCCTGAGCGAATATTTGTGCACTCCCACTGGACTGTCCGTGGGCAGAAGATGTCCAAAAGCCTGGGCAATGTGATTGATCCCTTTGCTTGCAATGAACGATACACGGTAGATGGATTTCGGTACTTCTTGCTAAGGCAGGGTGTTCCTGAGAGGGATTGTGACTATTATGATGAGAAGGTCGTTAAGGTTGTGAATTCAGAACTGGCAGATGCACTTGGGGGACTTCTGAATCGGTCAACAGCCCCTGGCATTAACCCCAGCAACACTTACCCGTGTTTCTCAGAGACTTGTTTTCCTAAGGTTGTGGATTACAGGGAGCCAGAAGCCCTGGGTAGGGCTGCTGCTGAGGACTATGAGTTTGTGGTGGCTGTGGCTTCTCTGCCTCTGCAAGTAGCTGGTTATTTTGAAGATTTCCAGATCTACAAGGCTTTAGAATGCATTGCCCTGTGTGTAAGGCAGACCAACGGTTTCTTCCAGAGGCACAGGCCTTGGAAACTTGACAGAAAAGACCCCACAGAGAAGCTCTGGCTTGACACCATCATCCATGTTACTCTGGAATGTCTGCGGGTCTATGGGACTCTCCTGCAGCCAGTCATCCCATGCACTGCAGACAAGTTGCTTTCCAGGCTGGCTGTTGAGCCAGAAGAGAGAGAGATCTCAAGTTTGACGTTTCTGCCACGCTACAGTGGGAAGCCATGTCCCTTTGAAGGGAGACAGCTTGGACCGGACACTGGCATCTTGTTTCCCAGACTAGAGAAATCAAGTCAGCATCAGGTAGAGAAGAGGAGGCTTTAGTGTCTGACAAATAGCTTCTGTAAATAAAAGCCTCCAGGAACTCCTAGGAAACATTTTTATCAGAGCGTGTTCCTCCCATCTCTTGGTGGTGGTATGAAGTGGATGAGATGGGACTGAGCAGGTCTGGGCTGTGCTGTGCAGTCCTGCCTTGGAGATTGGCAGAGGTGTCTGCCCTAATTGGAGAGCAGGCAGACAGATTGGTTGTGTGCACAAGCCGGAGAGCTAGGAAAGCATCTGGCTAACATCCTTGGAGGAACAGCTCTGCAGCTTAGCTGGTAGCAGAGAATGAACTGCAGGTGCAGTCTAGGTCTGAATATTGCTACTTTGTTTTCCAGTTTGCTTTAATAACGTAAAGGGGCTGAAGCAAAATATCTATCCATGTAAAACACGGCACTCTTCCTACACAGCCTTGAAGCCCTCTTGTCATGCTACTTGCATCTTCCACCCTGGCCTCTTTACTTTGCATTTGCTGATGTGAGGAGTAGGTCAGGTCCCCCAGCTTGCTTGCTCCGGGAATCCCTCCCATCACTACCTGAGAAAACAAAGCATCTGGGGCAAGCAACAGTGGTTGGAGTGAACGTGGAGTAGGAAAAGCAGGAGAGCAGGCTTGAAACTGATGTAATACCATGACAAAGAGGAATTGCTGGGAAGTCACAGGATCAGAAATGTAGCAGCTCCCCTCTGCCTGTGGCTGAGGTGGGTGTTTTGGCCACTGCTGTGTTCCCAGTGCTGGGACCGAGCCTCCATCAGACCGCGTGGAGACAGACAAGCTGGGATGCAGATGGCAACGGTGTCAGAGCTCCTGCGGGAGAGGAGTTTGCAGCTGCCAGGTAGAAAGAATCCTTCCACTTGAAAACAAACAACCGTAAGGCTGTGGGCAAATAAGATTGTTTATTTGGTTGTGCTCTCATTCAGGGAGTGGTGGCTTTACTTACGGAGCTGCGGTGAGCATTTCCAGTAGCTGCAGTTGCTCAGAGCAGGTTCGTGTTCAGGCTGAGCCTCTGAGGGGATCCAGCTGTCCCCAAAGAAGGGATTTTCCCCTTGGAGCTCATGCACAGGGGTGAGCAGCAACTTGCATCCAACGTCCTTGTGTCCCTTTGACTTTGCTCTGGAGGTTTTTTAGCTATGCTGAGACAGAGGCAACTGGGGGTGGTTGGAAACTGTGTCCTGGTTTAAGCCTCTGTGTCCTGGTCCTAAAACCTCTGGGTTTTAGCCCAATTGGATGCGCTGAATCCATCAGTTGAGCTTCCTTGATGAGCCAAACCCTCAGATCAGCTGATGTAGCCTTGATGGGGAGGATCTCTTCTGCATTAGAGTTGTTTAGAGTGGAGCAGTGCGATGAGACAGAGTGGTGTGCTGGTCAGGTGGGTGGCCTCGCTCAGCTGACACTTGCAGACATAAACAAAATCAGAAGAGGGGGAATCCATGTGTTTCAGGACCAGTGTTTGTGAACCTTTTCTGCCCGCTGTGTGATTTATTGCACCTCTTCTTGTCTTTTCACTATTGGCAGGAGCAGGCAGCTACGTGCTGTTGCCCTGGGACGGCTGTGACCTCCTGGGAGACCCCTGGGAAATTCTTCCCAGCCTTTGGCTCCTTCACTTCTTACCAAGCCCTGCTGTGTGCAGTTTTAGGGGGTTGTGATCTCTTCTGGAGCTGCCTGGGCTACGTTATCAGGGGCAGCAGGAGCACTGGGGGTCTGTAGAGGGAAGGGCCAAGGGGGTTGCTTCTCCCTTGGGGTTCTGTTACACCCTTCTCCCCATGCTGTAGTGCACTGCCCATCTGTCTCGTGTTACCCATGAAAGCCAGGTGCTCTCCCAGACCCCTTTGCAGCAGTGTTCTCCCTGGGTGATGTGCACTTGACCCGATGCCTCTTGCTCCCATCTCTACCTCTCCCTCCCCGCTGTGCGTGCCTCAGGCTGCTCCTGTATTCCTGCACAGTGCGGGGTGACCACATTGCAGCCTTCAGTACCTAAAGGGAGCCTACAAAGGAGGGGAATCAACTCTTGGAAAGGGGAGATAACAGCAGGACAAGGGAAAATGGTTGGAAGTTGAGGGATGGCAGATGGAGGTTGGATGTCAGGGGGAAGTTCTGTACTATGAGAGCAGTGAGGTGTTGGAACAGCTGCCCAGAGAGGCTGTGATGCCCCGTCCATCCCTGTTCAAGGCCAGGTTGGATGGGGCCCTGGGCAGCCTGGGCTGCTGTGAAATGTGGAGGTTGGTGGCCCTGCATGCGGCAGGGGGTTGGGGCTTCATGATCTTTGACGTCCCTTCCAACCCGGGCCGTTCCGTGTTTCTGGGAAGAGGAGCCCCAGTGTTCGCCCACTCCGACGCTGCCAGCAGCGGGGCCGACCGGGGGGCTGCGACCTGCACCGCACGGAGCTGTGCGGGGCTGTGCGGGGCGGGGCCGCCGGCGGTGCCGCTGCGCGGGGCGGTCCCGCAGCCTTCCTGCGCCCGACCACCTGATCCGCTCCGCCCGCCGCAGCCGCAGCCTTTGTGTGTGCGGTGCGGCGGTGCGGGATGGCGGCGGGAGGAGGGCGGCCGCCGGGCCCGGATTCCTCGCTGGAGCCCTACGTGCAGACCCGCATCTTCAAAATCATCGTCATCGGAGACTCCAACGTGGGCAAGACGTGTCTGACCTTCCGCTTCTGCGGAGGCACCTTCCCCGATAAGACCGAGGCCACCATCGGCGTGGACTTCAGGGAGAAGACGGTGGAGATCGAGGGGGAGCGCATCAAGGTGGGCCGCGGCGGCCCCGGCGGGCGGATCGCATCGGGCTCCGGAGGCGGCCGGCCCCGCACCGCCCGCGGGCTGCCCGAACGCCGGCTGCCTCCCGGGGGCCGTTCGGATTCGAGCCCGAGGGAGGGGAACCGGGGAAGGTTTCTCATTGCGGAGACGTCTGCCGACCGTGTCACTGCTGCTTTTTGATGTTGGCTCGAGTCTGCGGGGGGTTTGAAGTGATGGCGTGGAGCGGAACGCCGCCGGCATCCGGTACGGCTGGGTGCTGAGCCGCCGGCTGGGCCGGAGCTGCTGGAGCTGTGCTCAGACGGCCGTGTGTCATGGAGCAGGTGGCTGCAGGGGCTCGCTGGAAGGTCGGGGCTCACACTGCCTGGTTGCAGGGGGCTTGACAGCTGTGATTTAACACTCAGAACTGGTGTTAGCAAGCGATAGGAGGATGCAATTCCAACAGAACTAGAACAGGACTGATTTGCTGTATGCAGACCAGTGTCACAACTGTGAGAAGTGTATTAGCTCAGACCAGAGAGCTTTGACTGATGGATCAGAGCAGATCCACAGAGGGGCTGCAGTTGGTACAAAACTGCCTGGGAAGCAGAGTTTGCAGCAGGTCTTGGCCTCCCCAGTGACACGGATCAGAACAAACAGCAGTCTGTGCAGCTGACAGGGAGGGGGCAAATACTGACAAATGGGGGATCAGAAGTTGAAGGACCGATCACATGAATGCAGAGCTAATGTCTGTTGATAAGAACTTCAGTTATGCTGTTAAACTGTCAGTGAATCTCTTTCTCTCCCCCTCTCTAGGAGAAGAGTTGTTCATTTCCCCCCCCGCCTTCCCCGGTTCCACTCAACACCACGTATCTGTGTTGTGGTGAGCCTACTGCAGGCTGGCACAAAGCCTGCCTCGCTGCCACCAGCTTGTAATGGTTGTCAGGCTTTCTACTTCTTGGATGTGATTTGTGCTGCAGCAGGCAGGATTGGGAGGCAGTGCAGCAAATTGCACCTTCTGGGACCATCCCAGTGGGGAGGAGAGAGGGGGAGATGCACCCTCCTGCTCCTGCTGTGCCCAGAGTCTAGCAGTGTGGGATAAACAGGCATGGAAATGAAGGAGCAGAACCTCTTTGTTCCAGCACTTTTCCACGCTGAATGATTGCGGGCCAGGCGCTGTCACAGCCCAGAGTAGTTCAAATAGAAAGCATTGACTTAGAAATTGGCAGTTCCATGCTTCAAGGCATTACTTACAAGAGCAAGCAGGACTTATAGAATCAGGCTCGCAGCCAGATGTGAGTTGGAAGGAGCCTTTGTAGGCTATCTGGTCTGACCCCCCTGCTTAAGCAAGGCCACGCACAGCAGGTTGCCCAGGACCGCATCCAGGCAGCTGTTGAACATCTCCAAGGAGGAGGATTCTGCAGCTCCTGTGGGCAGCCTGTGCCACTGCTCTGTCACCCACACAGCAAATAAGTGCTTCCTGATGTTCAGAAAGAACTCCAGCTGTTTTGGTTTGTGTCCACATCTCTTCTGTCATCACTGGGGACCACTGAAAGGAGCCTGGCTTCTTGGCACCCTCTGTGCAGGTATTTATACCATTTATGAGATAAGCTCTCTTCTCCATGCTGAAGAGTCACGGCTCTCAGCCTGTCATGCAAGGGCTGCTCCAGTCCCTTCATCATTTCAAGGCCGTTTTAATCTCCATTTCTCTCTTGTACTGGGCAGCCTAGACCTGGAGTGCTGGGTCCAGGCGTAATCTCACCAATGCCCACGAGAGGGGAAGGATCTCCTCCCTTGACCTACGGGCAATACTTTGCTTAATGCAGCCCAGGATATCATTAGCCAGCTTTGTCGTATGGACACGATGCTGGCTCATGTTCAACTCAGTGCCCACCAAGACCCCGAGCTCCTCTTATTCCCAGCTGTGTGTCTGCTCAGTGTCCTGGGGTTGTCCAACTTCAGCAGGCTTCTGTCAGCCCGTTTCTCCAGCCTGCCCAGGTCCCTCTGGATGGCAGCACAGCCCCCCACCTCACCACCTCCTGGCTGAGGATGCACTGCTCCATCATCCAGATTGTCAGTGAAGATGCTGAACAGGAGCAGGCACAGTAATGACCCCTGTAACTGGTCCCTAAATGGACTTTGCACCACCGATCACCACCCTCTGGTTTTGACCATCCAGCCAGTTTCTAATGCAATTTATTGCTCATCCGGCAACATCAGTTTTTCTATTAGGATCTCAAGGCAGACAGGTATCAAAAGTAACATTCAAGTGTTCCTAGCCTTCTTTTTGTCACCTAAATACCTGGAAAAGCCATTCCTGGTGCCTTTAACATCTCTTGCCACATTCAGTGCCAGTTGTGTTTTTGCTTTCTAAACCACCTCTCTGTGGGTTTACATTGTGTCTGTATTCCTCTCAGGTCACTTGTCTCACTTTCCACCTTCCCTGTACTTCTCCTTTTACCTCCTGGCATTTTTGCCTGACTTCCTATCATTCAGATGGACAGCTCTTGAGCTCAGAGGTGGACGTACATCACTATTAGCTAGCTTTCTTTGGTCCCTTTTTCCTATAGGGCCTTAATTCACAGGACTCTTTCAAGCAGATCTTTGAAAAGGCCCAAATCTGCTCTCACTGTTGTGGTCTTGCATTTTGCTCTGCTCCTTCTGCTCAGGATCCTGAACTCCACCACCTCATGGTTAATCACAGAATCACATTGATTGCAGAATCATGGAATCATAGGGGTTGGAAGGGACCTCCAGAGATTGTTGTGTCCAACCCCCCTCTAAAGCAGGTTCCCAAATAGATGTCCAGGTGGGTCTTGAATATCTCCAGAGAAGGAGACTCCACAACCTCCCTGGGCAATCAAAATAATTGATGAGATGCCTTTGACCTTGACAGCTGCCCTGCTGAAGCTGGCTCAGCAGAGCACCTTCCCCTCTTTTATCACTTGGGTCATGAAGTTGCCACCAATGCTCTCCAGGAATCTCACGCTTTGTGCTCTGCTGTGTTGCCCCTCCAGCATACACAGGAATGGTTGGAGGCCTCCAGAAGGACCTGTGAACGTGAGACTCTGCCCGTCTGCAGAGGGCCTCATCCCTTGTTCCTGGTCAGGCTGGAACTGCCCACTGCCCTGTCTCCAGGGCTCTCTGCTCTTTAATCCCAACCCTTATTTCTCAGCTGCTTCCTCCCCCAGGCAGAGCTCCACGCAGGAATGCTGCTCTTTGCCCTGCCTCCTTCATGCGTACACAGTGCGTCATTTTCAGGGTTCTCTTATACAGCATAGCATCAGGTGGGCCGACGTGTTAATCTGTTGTGACATTTCTGAAAGGAGCAGTGCTTTGTGCACTTGGTGGTGGGGATGCTGGCTGAGTGCACCAGCCCAGCAACGCGTTCCTGGGGAAGGTAAGTCATCGGGCTGGGACTTTTCTCCCTCAGAGCACAGGGATGAAAGCGTGCTGCCCACCGGTTGTCGGAGCAGCTGCAGCACACCTTCCTGCTGCAGCAATGCCTGCTCGCTGGGCACCCGGCGCTCTGGCAGCCTCAAGAGCCCCATGTTGTGCTTCTAGGTGCAGGTGTGGGACACGGCCGGGCAGGAGCGGTTCCGGAAGAGCATGGTGGAGCATTACTACCGCAACGTGCACGCCGTGGTCTTTGTGTACGACGTCACCAAGATGACATCATTCACCAACCTCAAGATGTGGATCGAGGAGTGCAACGGGCACGCTGTGTCCCCGCTCGTCCCCAAAGTGCTGGTAGGGAACAAGTGTGACTTGAAGGACCTGATCCAAGTGCCGTCCAGCATGGCCCTCAAATTCGCCGACGCTCACAACATGCTGTTGTTCGAAACCTCAGCCAAGGACCCTAAGGAGAGCCAGAACGTGGAGTCCATCTTCATGTGCCTGGCCTGTCGGCTGAAGGCGCAGAAATCGCTGCTCTATCGCGATGTGGAGAAGCGGCCGGGCCGGGCGCAGAAGCTGGAGCAGTCGCGCGACGCCCACGGTAAAAGCGCGTGTCCGTGCTGAGCGCCTTCAATAAAGTCTGTGCGGAGCCCTGCGCTCGGACTCGTTGATTTGCTCGGCGCGCATGCGCGGCCGGAGCGGGGCGCATGCGCAGTGCGCGCCGCCGCCGCCATCATGAAGTAGGTTCGGTGGGGGGCGGGCGGGGGGTTCGCGCCCGGCCGGTGCTAACGGTGCCCATCGCCCTCAGCCCGCTGACCAAAGTGAAGCTGATCAACGAGCTGAACGCGCGGGAGGCGGAGCTGGGCGTGAGTGAAGCGGTGTCGTGGCACGCCGAGTACAAGGACAGCGCCTGGGTCTTCATCGGTACGTGTAGGCCGCGTGGGGGGGGGCGGTGTGGAGGGCGTGAGGAGAGCGGCGGGAGGCTGTGCTGAGCCCTGTGCTGGGCTCCGTGATGAGCCCTGTTCTGGGGCTCCGTGCTGAGCCCGGCCGCCTCACATGGCTGCCCCCTCCCCTCCCTGCAGGCGGGCTGCCCTACCAACTAACAGAGGGGGACGTCATCTGTGTGTTCTCGCAGTAAGTGCCCACCCCCTCCTCTTGCTGTGCCCCTATAGCCCTGCTCTGTGGCTGCTGATGGTGTGTTTCAGGTACGGGGAGGTGGTGAACATTAATCTGGTGCGGGATAAGAAGACCGGGAAGTCTAAAGGGTTTTGCTTTCTGTGCTATGAGGACCAGAGGAGCACCGTTCTTGCTGTTGATAACTTCAATGGGATCAAGGTGAGTGCTGGGGCTGCAGCAGCTCCTGGAGCACTGCATCACGTCAGGGAGGAGCTCCATCAGCCACTGGCCCACAGCACATGCTTTGCTGCCTCCTGTCCTAGATCAAAGGAAGGACGATCCGTGTGGACCACGTGGCCAACTATCGGCCTCCCAAGGATTCAGATGATTTGGATGATGTCACAAAAGCCCTCCATGCAAAGGGCTGCGGAGTGAAAACGCCACCTCATACGTCGTCAGATTCCTCGTTGGAGGATGAGGACATGCCAGTCCAAAAGCAAAAAGGTGAAATGCATTTCTGCCAGTCTTTACCCTGGCTGGGAGGAACTGTGTGGGTCTCAGGGACCTCTTAGCTCAGCATACAGCAGGGATAGCTATCCTCTTGAAAAGAGATGCAACCCTAATGTCCAGGCTGTACTCTGTGGTCTGTGTCACACTGGCAGTATTTACTCTTATCTGTGATCATTCACCCCCACCCTCTGAAGATCCTAGTATGAAGGGATGTTGCAAGGGGGGAGAGGTGGATGGACAGTGGAGGACAGGGAGAAGAAAGGTTCAAAATAAATCCCTCAAAAAAAACAAAACTGGTGCTCTGTAACAGAGCTTGTGGAGATGATGCTTGCAGGACTGTCCATCTCTAAAGACGAACCTTTTGTTTCAGATAAAGAGAAGAGTAAACATGATCGGCAAAAGCAGAGCTCTCAGGCTGCAAAGAGAGCAGCGTCTGCAGAAGAGGCACATCCGAGAATCAAGATTAAAAAGGAGAAGGAAGATCCTGGCTATGACCGATATGCTGGTGGGAGTCAGCAGTCCTGCAGTGAGTCTGAGAGGAAACATGCGAGCAGGACACAGCGAGATGAGGAGGAGCAGAGGCACCAGAGGTCTCTGGGGAGGAGAGGGGAAAAGAGCTCTCAGGAACACAGAGGGCAGAACGGTTCACGGGAAGAGAGAGGAGAGGTTAGCAGGAAGGGTGAGGGGCATGGCAGCCGGCGAGAAGAGTGTCCTGAAGGAAGCAGATCCAGGCACCGGTGGGAGAGCAGCACCAGAGAGCCCCATTCCAAGCACAGGGAGCGTGGTTCCACCAGAGATTCCAGCCATCGCTGAGCCCTGGTGCGAGCACCCTCTGGGCCACAGCTGTGCCCACCAAGAGACAGCTGTGCTCTGTGAGCTGCACCAGGAGCTGTCTGCAGCTTCCTGGTGTGTCCTTGAGGGTACCACAGCTGGTGGTGCGTCATCTCACACACAGCTTTGACTCGTTCGCTCCTCAGACAGGGCTTGCTTTGTGCTGTGGACTGGGATGTGAGCTCTGTCGCTGCCTCGTTCAGCCCTTCTGTGCAGTGGCATCTCACAGACAGTTGTGGAAGGGCTCACGGCGCAGCACGGGCAGTAGGGGTGCTGAGCAGCAGGATGCTATAGACCCCAAACTGCCCACGTTCAGTGGGAGCACCCCTGTCTGCAGCGGGGCCGGTGGGAGCCTGCAGGTGGGCATAAGTGCTTTGTGCCCCCAGCCTGTCCCACTGACCTTGGTTATGAGATCTCCAAGGCTGTGCTGCTGAGCCATCGCTGTTCATGTTTTTTGTTATAAACTCCTTTTAATAAAATTGATCCACTAACCAGAAGAGACAGCACTGGGAGCACCACTTCTGTGTCCGGGTAGCAGGGAAAGGTGAACTTTTTCTGTTTGGACTGAACATCGACGGCAATGGAGAAACAGAGAGAACGCAGCGATGACTTTGAGCCGCATCTGGTTGCTACTGGAGCCCTTGCTTCGCTGAGTAGCTTTCTCCGCCGTCTACCCAGTGGGTTTCGGGGTGATTTCAGTCGGTCTCGTAGCTGCAGCCCTCGCCCGTCTCCTCGCCTTCCGTTCTCGGCGGGCGGCGCTGATGGAACCAGAACTCCGGGAGCGAGCTGCTGGCGCCTCGCCGCCAGGGGGCGCCATCCGCCTGCCGTGCGTCGCGGTGCGCTTCCGGTTCCGGGCGCTTCTGGTTCCGGGGCGGGGCGAGGCGAGGCAGTGTCCGGCCCGGCGCGGCGGCGCGCTCCGCCATGCCATGTCCGCGCTGAACTGGAAACCCTTCGTGTACGGCGGGCTCGCCTCCATCGTGGCCGAGTTCGGTGAGGTGTGGCGGGCGGGCGGCGGGCATCGGCGCGGGGCCGGCGGGGCGCTGACGGCCGCTTTCCCCGCAGGCACGTTCCCCGTGGACTTGACCAAGACGCGCCTGCAGGTGCAGGGCCAGAGCGCCGATGCGCGGTTCCGCGAGGTGCGTTACCGCGGCATGTTCCACGCCCTGTTCCGCATCTGCCGCGAGGAGGGCGGCCGCGCCCTCTATTCGGGGTAAGCACGCAGCCGGGGGGGCTGAGGGGCTGCGCGGGGCCGGCGGCGGTGTGAGGGCGGTGTGTCGGCGTTGCTGCGGATGGTCGCGGCACGAGGCGCCTCTCGGCGGCCGGCGCTGCGCCCCGGGGTGCCGCCCTGCTGGGAGCTTCAGCTGCCGCCGTTTGCTCCCTCGCTCAGGATCGCCCCTGCGCTGCTGAGACAGGCGTCCTACGGCACCATCAAGATCGGCATCTACCAGAGCCTGAAGCGGCTGTTCGTGGAGCGCCTGGAAGGTCTGTGGTAGGAACGTGGTGCAGCTCCTCTGCCAGACATCCGCGGCGCGGTGCTGCATGCTCTGTTCTGTGTGGGTTTGCTCGTTCCTTTCCCTGCCCTTCCCGGCTCTGGTTCTTCAAGAGATGGAGTTCTCGCTTCGTGCCGTGTGGCTGTGTTACATGCAGGGATAGGCTGCAGCACCGGTTGGAATCTCACTGCAGTTGATGCTGCCCACAGTTACAGAAATGGTCCCTAAGCTGAACATGCTTTCCCCAGCTTTCGTCTTTGTTTTGCAACATCAGATCCCAGGAAACCTCCAGTGTACTGACAGAGGCCCATCTCTTCTCATTAGCTTCAGGAAAGATGTCATATGTGTCTTTATTACTTGAAGGGAGTGTATAAACAGGAGTGGGAACAGCTGTTTATGAGGGTGGATAGTGATAGGACAGGGGGGAATGGTTTTAAACTGAGATGGGGGAGGTTTAGGTTGGGTATTAGGTGAGAGTTTTTCCCCCAGAGGGTGGTGAGGCACTGGCACAGGTTGCCCAAGGAGGCTGTGGATGCCCCATCCCTGCAGGCATTCAAGGCCAGGCTGGATGTGGCTCTGGGCAGCCTGGGCTGCTGGTTGGTGACCTGCACACAGCAGGGGGTTGAAATTAGATAAGCATTGTGCTCCTTTTCAACCCAGGCCATGCTGTGATTTTGTGATATCCCAGCTGTGCTCCCTGCACTCCTCTGTGTTACTTGGGTTGTAACCTTCACTAGGAAGCCTTTCCTGTTGTTCTCTTGAAGTCCTTCTGCTGGAACACAGCAGCTCTGCTTAGGAAGTTGTCCAATTCATGAGCTTTTGCAGTGATTAAAGAGATAAGAAACAGTGTGTGCTCTTGACTCTGGTGACAGGAACCTCTGTTCCTCTTACTTGTGTACTTACTAGCAGAGCAGCCAAAGTTGAAGATTTCTTTACTGGAGGAGCTGCACGTGCAGTTCTATATCCTGTCCCATCATGAGTGAATACTTTATGATGTTCAGCCTGGGAAAGTGAGGTGTGAGGTTCACACCAGCGAGAGGACCAGGTGTGCAATGCACTAGGCCTGTTTTCCAGGGGCTGCTCTCTTCTTGAGTGACGCCTCTCCCTGCGGATGGTTCTGTGCTTGTGCTCTGGGCTGCCCACCTCACTTGTTGCAGCATTTCCAGTTGTGAGTACTGTTGTTTGAATGTTTGTCTCCCTACAGGCCTGGGGCAGCACGTGGCCTGGTCTCCTCTGGGAAGTGCTGTGGTCAGTACCAGCAAAGGGCCTTTTTCCAATATAACCATCAATCTAATACTGGACCTGGAAATCTTGGATTTTTTTCCTTCTCTGGAACTAATTGCCTCTAACTTTCTCTGCCTGGATCATCTACTCTATTTTTCAGGGAGGCTGCATATTCTGAGTGTGGCCAGCTGGGGCTCCAAATTAAAACTAATTGATGTCAGATTGCCTTGAGAAGTGTTTAGTTGCCCCTCCGTCTTGCCATTATCCATTATGAGAAACGCATCCCTGGGTGCTGAGATCTCAGATGATTGTTTAGCACTTTCCTGTGTAGCGGCCCTTTATTTGTCTGATCAGCTAGAATTGGCAGTCAGACCTGCTTCTCTCTGACAGCGTGTTGCTGTTTCAGCCTCTGCTTTTTGTCTCTGGCAGCTGCAGATAGGTCTGCTGTCAGCTGGTGGTGAATGGCCAGTTTCTGCTTCTGCAGCTTCACCATGTGATTTGTGAATTTAGCTTTTGTGTTCTTTCCAGAGCTGCTTGCTCAGTGCAGCGCCTTCTCTTCAGACCTTTAGGACCTGACTTTCTTTTCTTGATTGCAGATGAAACGTTGCTAATCAATGTAATCTGTGGAGTGGTTTCAGGGGTGATCTCCTCTGCCCTTGCCAATCCGACAGATGTGCTGAAGGTAAGAAGTGTGTGTGTGTCCAGTGAGCCCAGTGCAGTTTGCCACATGCTCCTGCTGCATCTCTCCCAGCTGCAGTGAGGTGCTCTCTAAGCCACTGCTGACATTAGTTCTGCTCATTTGGGCTTGTTATGAATGGGAGTTGCTCTCTTGTTCCTTTGTGCCAGGAAATCCATTGAGCTCATCGCCTGCTGATGCTGTGCCCCTGACTTGCACATTTTTTTTTCAGATTCGAATGCAAGCTCAAGGCAGTTTGTTCCAGGGTGGCATGATAGGCAGCTTCATCGACATCTACCAGCAAGAGGGCACCCGAGGCCTCTGGAGGGTGAGCACCACTGCTGGAAACCCCTCACCTCCACTGGCATCAGAATTAAAAGCTTCCTCAACTTGTTTGCTGCTCCTTCTCTGAGCCCAAGTGCAGCTCTTGAGGAGAACTGTGAGCCAGGGGAGGCAGTGAAGTCCTTCTCCTCGTTAGCAGACAAACAGAAGCATGTCTATATGGAGATTGGGTCTGTGCTGTGGCAGTGTCAGCACTGGGCCAGTCAGATCTGGTTCCAGGGCTGAAGCTGTCCCTGGGCAGAGCAGTATGTAGGTCTGGGCAGGTAGATTGGGACTTTTGTGGTACGGGATCTTTTCTGGTGTTGAAATTTCAGTATGCTGGTGAGGAAGAAAAGTGAATTATAGCCTTATTCCTTTGTGGGCTAGAGAAAAGCAGCATCTGGTTAATCTGGCTGTAGTAAAACTGCTAGGGAGGAGGATGGAGGAGTCCTCCCTGGCTTTGGAGTTACAGTGGGAGACAGGGAGCAAGCTCTACCTCAAGCTTCAGCTGCAAGGTGGGATGATGAGGGTACCAGGTGTCCTGTCAAGAGAAAGACAAGAGAGGAGGCTGGGAAGAGGTGTTATGCCAGCTGTGGGTCTCAAGGCAGCAGTTCGTGCTTGTGACTGATGTTTGTGTTCTGCAGGGCGTTGTTCCAACAGCCCAGAGAGCTGCCATTGTGGTTGGGGTGGAACTGCCAGTCTACGACATCACCAAGAAGCACTTGATTCTGTCAGGCCTGATGGGTGATACAATCTTTACCCACTTTGTGTGAGTATTTGCTGCGGCTGCTGTGCTCTCCAAGCTTGGCAGTGTGTGAGGCAGAGAAGCAAGGTGGGATTTGGAGACCTGTTTATAGAGCAAGAGCTCTGGAGCTGCCAAGAACAAGCTCAGTGCTTCTGAGGGATCTGCTGTGTTGACTGGAGCAGCTATGGGTGCTCAGAAGGTATCCCTAGAGAGACCTCCCTGGAGAAGGAACGTGGCAGAAATCCTTGTGGTGAAGTGAAATAAAAGCTTGAATTCAGTTCCCTGGTTACCAGAGATGCTGTTGCTCTGTTTTGCTGCCACGGTGTGAACCTGGCAGGATTCTAGGTGTGATGAATGGTAGCAGTAGGTTGAAAGAGCTGCTCCAGTCCGAGGTTCTCCTCTACAGAAGATGTCAAGATTGCAGCCACTATCAGAGTTTTATGAAACAAACAGTTGCAAAACTGACTGGAAGAATACACTGAGCAATCTGACCTAGTTTTGAAGTCAGCCCTGCTCTGAACAGGGAGTGGATTAGAAACTTCCCAAAGTCTTTCTTCACCTACATTTTCCTATTATTCTTTTAGCAGACACTTTAGCTGGAGGTGTTCAGTGCTTCTGTTGGGTTTGCTTGCTATGGGCTGAGGGTGACAAGCACTAGACCATGTGTGCAGGGAGGAGCTGCATGCTCCCTATGGCTGCCTTTGCTCTTCCTCCTTCCCTGCCACGAAGAAATGTTTGCTCTGGGGAGAAGGATGTGCATTTCCAAGAGCCTGCCTTCAGGTCTGTGTCACCCTGTCAGCATTTGCTGGCCTGCAGACAGCCCTGTGGAGACCTGGCAGTGGGCTCTGGCAGGATCTTCATCAGATGGAGCTGAGCATTTTGCTTCCTTAGCTCTCTGAGTCTCAGTCTGCTATTGGTTCTGGGTGGGAGCAGACAGGACAGCTAATGTTTATTGCTAAATGCCTTTCGTGGAATTGAAAAGTACTCTTGTGCTTGTGTCCAGGCCTGTCTGAGCTCAGAGCTATTTCTCTCTAATGTTCTGGTACATCTAGGTCCAGTTTTACATGTGGGCTGGCAGGAGCAATTGCCTCCAACCCTGTGGATGTGGTGCGGACACGGATGATGAACCAGCGAGCGATAGTGGGCAGTGTGGAGCTCTACAAGGGCACTCTGGATGGTCTTGTGAAGGTAAGGAGGTGACACAGGTGGGCAAAAAGCTGTTTTTGGGAGGCTGGCTGCTGTTAAAGCATGGGCTGGGTGAGCAGACAGTGAGGTGTGTTGAAAACTGGCTGAATGGCCGAGCCCAGAGTGCGGTGGTGTTCTCACAGCAGAGCTCCTCTTTGGCTCTGCAGAGTCTGTGACTGATCCTAAGTTGAGTGATAACTGATCTGTCTCTTCTTTTCCCCCAGACATGGAAGAGTGAAGGGTTCTTTGCACTCTATAAAGGTTTCTGGCCCAACTGGCTTCGGCTTGGTCCCTGGAACATCATTGTATCCTTCAGTATGCTGCTGGGAGGTGATGAGTGTGGGCAAGCAGGGGAAGACTGAGCTGTAAATGGAAGTTCAGAGCAGATCCCCTGTTAGGCTTGGACAGACATTGACTGCAGGTGCTTCGAGTGCCAAAAAGCACCACTGGCTGTGGCTGCTCCTTCTGACAGCTCTGTGGTGGTTTATGCAGGGACTTGCAGTGCAGCAGCAAATGCATTTTCCTGTAAAGTGCTTTCGAGTGCGTGGCTTTAAGCTTTCCATTGAGCCTGAGCTGCTGCAGTCGCAGCAGTTTCAAGATTGGCTCCTGCTTTAGGAGGGAAGCCTGGGGAATATTCTTCTCCTGAGACAGGTGCTGACCTGCTCTGCAGATCAGTCACAGCTGTGTTGCTGTTCTGGTTTCTTCATTCCCTCTGACGTGGTGCATAGAATTTGTTTTAAAGAAGTTCCTGCTTAGAAAAACCCCATTGGAGTTATTTCCCTTTCCTAGTGGTCCAGGCAAGCCTTGGCCACCTTGATTTTTGGGTCAGTTTCTTCCCTCTCCTGGTAGCCTCCTTCCACAGCTCTCTTCCATCTGTACAAATCACTTTATGCTGCCTGGAAGAGGGGATTCCCCTGTTGGTTTTCAGCTATACTATGCTGATCTGCCTGCCTTGCCTTGTGGGGTTTGGCCTGGTTATGAGGGAGGTGCAGTGCAGCTGCTGGATGTATGTTGCCTAATTCCTTGACTTTCCCTTCAGTTTTTTATCACATATGAGCAACTGAAGCGACTTCCATTCTGAGAGCTAGCTTCATTCCATGAGTGTCATCTTCAAGGCTCACAGCAGTGTTTTGCTGCAGCCTTCATTTCACCATCCCCACGTTTTGATGTTTTGTTACGTGTGGGTCTGGATTCTCCTCCTCCCCCACATTCATGGTCCCTGAAGGTTGGTTCTGACTGAAGTGTAACTGGGAGGCTGATGGCAGGTACTGCATGCTTTGTTCCACACAGAGGTGAGTGTTCACTGTGCACGAGTGTCTGGGCCTGAAGCAATATCTTCTGTGAAGATCTGTGCATTCCAGTGGCCTTTTGATGCAGCTGTGGTTTGTTTGACTCACGTACTTTGTTCTGCCATACCTGTGGGGTGAGGCTGGAAGCTGGACAGAGGTGCTGTCATGTTTTCCTGCAACCTGTAACCTCATTAAATTATTTATTGACTGGATGGCATGAGTTCGTGTTTGTGCAGACTTAGCATAGGTATATTTTTTCAGAGCAGATGCTGTGTCTGTCCTTGGAAACAAAAGGTTTTTTTTCCAGCACACCATATATCCTTTTTTTCCCCCCTAAATACATTATTTTTTCGTCAGTCTTCAAACTTCATTGCCATGAATGCATTTCTAAAAGACAGCTGGATAGTCAGGAAATGATGGTGCCATAAAAGCAGCTTTTATCCCTCCCTCCTTCCTTCCTCCTCTGTGGGAGAGCTTTGGTCTGGATGAAGGTTCCATGTGATGTGCAGCAATGCTTCCTGCTTGAGACTGCTGCAAAGTGACCTCTGTGCAGATTGCACAAGGGATGTTCAGCCAAACGAGGGAGAGAGGCTGATTTGGGTGGTTCTGTAGGGACCTGGTTGAATGCATGAGGAAGGTGAGGCCTGTGGACTCGTGGACTTGAATAGTGCCATGAATGGAGGTGATCCTACAAGGCTGGAGGGTCAGTTCTGGAGGTAAACTGCAAGTTACCAGGGGCTGGGAGCAGAGGATTGAAAACAAACGATGTTTGCATGCTCCAGCTTGCTTTACTCTTGAAAAGCATTCTGAATATTCAAAGTAAAGACGTTGTGATGTGATGGGTCAGTATGAATCCATTGGAGAGAAGAATGTTAACAGCAATTCTACACATTCGTTTGGCTTCCTTCACGTTTCTGTAGCTTGAGTTCTGGAGCAGAGCCTTCTGTGCAGCTGTGCTGGTGGTTGTAATTTCCTTGCTGACAGCCATTGCTGTCCCATCTTTGTTCTTCAGGAGCAAAGCTCTACAAGCAGCTCCTCAGAAATGCATGAAGTGTATTTGTGGCCTCTTACGGGTTTTTGGCTTTGTTTTTTTCTGATGTGAAGTGCTGGGGGGAGGCTCTTCTTTCCACCCTCGGCACCTACATCCTGCCCTGTGCCATGCTCTGCCTTTGGCTGCCTTCTCAGCTGTACCCTGACCTTGGTTATGCTCAGCCTCTCCTGAGCAGCCCGCTTGCCTTGGTTGCTATTTGACTGAGGAAGGCTCAAGCCTTCCCTGTTTCCTGGCAGCTCTGGTTTTTCTGCTTCTTGGTCCAGGAGAGGCAGCTTTATTTAAAGGGCTCAATGGTATTTCTTTGGTCCCTATGGGACGAGGCTGCTGTAGTTCTGGCAGTGACCCTGCAGAAGCCTCATGAGCTGTACCACCTGTACATCCTGGTGGGCTTTTCTCCTTTATCTGCACCTGTGTCAAAGCCAGGCACTGGCTCTGCTCAGGTCCTTAGTGCTTGGCTGGGCTGCTCAGCTCCCTGCCTGCCACCACAGCAGTACCACTGGACAAGGACGAGTGATCAGGGCGTGATCCTGTTGCTGAAATGGACCACAGCCCCCAAGCAGGTCTCGTGGTTGCACTAGGAGAGATGATGGAGAGGCCGACAGCAGCATGGGCTGCCCTGGAATGGAAGATGCTGAAACACCCTGTGCAGGGGGCTGCTGCCCTGCTGGTGGGGCAGGGAGCCGGGGAGCAGGAGTGGGCTGTTAGGGAGGAGAGTGGCGTCAGCCCAGCCTCACACTGCCTTCCTGTTCAGGGCTCTGAGCTCACCCTCCTGCTCTCGGGTTGTCTGGAAACGTGGCATGAGGGGAGGGACCTCCGTGGGCACAGCGGGTGCTGTGAGTGCATCAGTCCCTTCTGGCACAGCAGAACTCTGCTCCGCAGCCTGAGGCACCACCTGGAGAGCGAGGTGCTGCGCTCACAGCCGCCCATTGCCTGCTTACTGAGCTGTGCCTACTGAGAAGCCCCAGGTGAGGAATGCTCTAGGGTCGTGCTGTGGACATACCATCTTTGGGTTGTGCCCCGCAGTGCCAGACATGGCTCGCTTGGCCGTGGGAATCATCCTTGCTGTGCTGGCTCCGCTCATCATCGCCGCCAACGTGCTGGTGGCCATTGCCCTCCTTCGCCTTATCTGGAAGACCGGCTGCAAGGGACACTATTTTGTCCTTAATCTTGCTGCTGCAGATGCCATAGTTGGTTTGTCGGTTGTAGGTCTGGTCAGAGGGGAGTTCTTTGAGCACGTTCATCCCAAGCAGATCTTCTGTGTCCTGCGAATGGCTTTTGTGACATCCTCTTCTGCTGCTTCTATCCTGTCCCTGACCCTGGTCGCGTGTTACAGGCACCTGGCAATCAGAAAGCCTTTCCACTATCACCAGCTGGTCACGGGCACGCGGGTAGCGCTGCACTTGGTGGCGCTCTGGCTGCTTGCTGGTATCGTTGGCTTTCTCCCACTCCTTATCCCAGGCTTTCGGAAGATCTCCCTCGAGGAAAAATGCTCCTTCTTCAGAGTCTTCCACCTCAGCTACATTCTCATTATCTCCTGCATGGGCTTCTTTCCAGTCCTGTTTCTCTTCGTTTACCTCTACTGTGACATGTTGAAAATTGCCTCTGTGCACGTGCAACAAATCCGGGAAGCGGAACGTGCGGGGCTGGCCAGGGGCAGCACCAGTGACATGAAGGCCATGCGCACCGTGGCCATGCTGGTCAGCTGCTTTGTGCTGTCCTGGCTGCCATTTTTCATCGCTGGCATCGTGCAAATTGTGTGTACCAAGTGCTTCCATTACGGAGTCATTGACAGCTACCTCTGGCTGTTGGGACTGTGCAACTCCCTCCTGAACCCCTTGCTCTACTCCTACCGGCAGAAGGACGTGCGGCGGCAGCTCTCCCAGCTGGCTGCTGATGTGAAGAGGAAAGTCCTTCATTTGGGGAAGGGTTGCTGTTTCCCCAGCAGAGGGACCGAGTCCATTCCCACTGCACCGTGATTGTAGCTCCAGGATTGATGTGGTTAGGAGTGGCTACCGTTGGCTTTCTTTCCAGCTTGTCTCCTTCACCAGGACTGTGAACCTGGGGGCTGCCAGCTGTGGAATAGATCCTATATGGGGTAGGACGGCTCTGCGTGCTTAGACACAGCACAACCAGCACAGCCAGTTCTGCACCAGCTCCAGGGCACCCCAAATTGCAGGTGCGTGGCACATGTTGAATTTTGCTTGGAGAGCTTCAGCAAGAGCAGCTTAGTGTCTGGTGGGACCAAGCCTTCCACAGACTGAGATCACTCACTTTTCACCTGGCTGTCCCCAGCCCAGACCTGAGAGCCTTCTGCTGTCCCTTCTGCCTTGCAGCACAGCTGTCTGGGCCAGTTTCCCCACCAGCACGTGGGGCAGGGCTGCTCTCACTGTTGGCTCTGTCACTCCCTATCACTGCCTTACCTAAACCAAACTTGCAATCCAACACATGCAATCTGGGCTGTCCCTCAAACCATTCTCTGATTAGGATCGATCTTAGAGGCAGAGGCGAGGGGTCTGGGGTCTCTGCTGCAATGTAGGGGGGAGGGGGTGGCTGTTCTTTGGCTTATGTGCATTGGAGCAAAAGCTGAACAGGTGTGGTGTGCCTGGGAGAGGTGCAGGGCAGCACCGGTTTGTGTTGTTACTGTTTGGTTTGAGCTGTAAAGCAAGTTAATGAGTGACTGACTCAGTGCTGAGCAGGAAGGACTGCCTTGGAGACAGGGAAAACCTTGTGTGGAAGAGCTGCTTTGTCCCACCGATGCCATAGGGCTGTTTATGGGGTGATAAGGATGCCTCTACACTGACTCTGCAGATGGGAGCACACAGCACTCGGTGCACCTCGTGCCACACAGCAGTGATGGACAGACTGCTGGTCCTGCCAGAGGCTGTGATGTTATCTAAGTGCTTTTTGTAAAATTGTAACGATTTGTAAAATCCACACAGCAGGAACATTTCCCTTTAAAACAGGCTACAGAGCTAGGGACTTGCTTCCATCTGAAAACTGGGGATGCTTTATGCAAACAGTAGTCGGTTCCTCTTCTGTCACCTGCCCTGCTGGTGGAGATGAAGGCTCAAGGCTTGATCCCATACACATGCAGAACCTGCCTCGGTCCTGAGGCCATCCTCATCATCATCTCAGAGGAACAGATGAAAATAAAAGCACCCTACTAAGACCAAAACAAGAGCAGCAGGCAGTTTGTGGCACCCATCTCTATGCCTGCGAGAGCAAACACCACACAACAGATCCTGTGCATGAAGGAAAGAGCCTGAGATAAGGCTCACACAGAACAGATGGGCTCCGTGGGTTGAACTGATACCTCGCAGGTGGGTCTGGTAGGTGGCTCCGCTCTGACTCAGTTGTGGGGATCAGCACATCGTGTGTCAGCGTGACGTGGCTGCTGTCCGCGCTTGGCACGGCGTGGGCTCCACCAGCTGTTGCTTTGCAAAGCCGACCCATCCTTGCTGAGTATCTGCCAACGCTGAAGCCGTCCTCTGCCTCCTCCAACACGCCTGCGAGCGCCCATTGGGAACGGAGACAAGCGGGCCTCCTGCTCCTCGCGTCTGCTGCGGTCCTGCTGCCCACGGCTGCGGGCAGGGTTGGTGCCCGGGCGCGGGGCCGCGTTGCCATCTGCGGCAGGGATGGCATCTCCTTGTGCGCGGGGGGACGGACTGACGGGAGACGATGACACGCTTTTGTACCGAGCGGGAGGAGGAGCACCGACCCGCACTGCAGCGGGGTCCGTCCGTCCGCGTCCCCGATTCGCTCCTCCTCCCCCGGCTCTGAGATAAAGAGCGCTTCCTCTCTTTGCTCAATAAATCGCATCGCTGCCGGTCTGCTCGCTGTTCCGAATCACGGCGGGATTGGGGGAGGGTCGCCTTCCTCGGCGTTTCGGGGGCTGCGCCGCCCCGCACCCGGCCCCGCCGGCAGAAAAAGAGCCGAGCGGCCGCGGGTCCCCAGGGGGCGGCTGTGAGCTGCAGCCGGGATGGGAAGCGCCCCGCCCCGCCCCTAGCGCCGCTCTCCCGGCATGCAGTGCGCGCCAGGCCCCGCCCCCAGCGCCACGGCAGCCAATGGGTGGCGCCGCAGGGGGGCGCTAAGCGGGGACGCTGGACGCGGATGTTTGTGGAGAGCGGGCGCGGCGCGGCCGGGCGCGGAGCGGGGCTGGGCGGTGAGTGCCGGGCGGTGCGGGGCGGGCGGTCAGCGCTCGGCGTTTCCACCTCAGCCCGCGCCGCGCTGCGTGTGCGGGAGCTGCGAGAAGCCGGCGTCTGTCGGCGCAGCGGGGCCCGAGGCGCGGGAAGCTTCCGTGCCGCCTTTCTGGGTCAGCGGCAATTCCGGTACCGGGAGGAGCGGCCGTAGCGGGGCGCCTCGGTGGCGGTTCCGGTCGCGCTGTGCCGGCGGAGGGCGGTGCTTCCGGCCCTGCCCGCTCCCGCGGGACCGCCGGCGGCAGCTCTCCGTTCCCGTGCTGCGGCCCGCAGGCGCTGTGCGGCTCGTGCCCAGCTGTGCGCGGCCGCCCGCGGCCCCACGGTTCTTCGGGCGTTAAACTCATTGATGCCGCCGTTATTTTAGCCCCGTCCCGTGCGAGGCCCGGCTGTTACACGCGAGAGCTGCTCGGCTCGGGATGCACACAAATGCTTTTGGTGGTGTTTCCCTTCCTGGGCTCGTCGCTCCTTCCCCACCTGGAAGCTGAGAAGCTGTTGTGTCTCTTTTTTCACCTTACATTTGGGGGACTTAATAAGGTCTAGTTAGAACGCCCTCTGCGTTAAGTTGTTGAAAGCTCCCTCTAAGCCACCGTAAGGTCAGGTTTCTCGCTTTAAGGTCATGTTCTTAGTATCAGTGACTTCAGCCCGTGGAAGAGATGAGGTTCGATTTCCGAGCAATTTCAAAGGTGTTGCTACAGAGGCATTCTGAATCCCTTCCAGAGATGGTGTGAGATTTCTCGCCTAATCCCCGGGTTTTCTGCTGTCACTCCTCCACTGCCAGCGCCTGGATCCCAGAGCAGCACCTCCCCACAGCTCCTGACTGCTCTGCTGTTGGCACTTTGCAGTCCTGCTCCTCTCACTGATGCTGTGGGTGTCCCCCAGCTGTGAGCTGCCCATGCCTTTCTTCAGCGCCCTCACCTGCAGAGCAGCACTCAGCCCTCAGCTCAGTGTCTGCACTGGGCTCTGGTGACAGGTCCCGTGTGCTGGAATTCATCTGTAGACGTGAAGCATTTTGTGTTCTGAAAGTGTGAGTTTGGCAGTGAGCATCCTCTCAACACTCAGTGCTGGTAGTTCTGGTCGTTTATCACAGTGGTTGGGGCACATCAGCCTCATGAGGGCCTTCCACAGGGAATCAAAGACTGGATCGGCTGGGTGTGTGTGGCCATACGTGCCTGCTTGCGTACACCAGTATGTCATATTTTCCTTTTTGTTCGTTTAGAACCCAACTCATATCCTGCTTGATCAGCCCTGTGCTTTTCTTGCTGTGTTGGCAGTGGTTTGTGAATGCCTTTCCTTGAAAACACTGCAGGCAACGCTTTGGTACAGTGAGCACTGCAGCCAAAGACTCTTCACACCTCTTCTTCTTTTCCAGCAACTTGCTGCAGTAATTACCTTGTCTGGAGTTGATATTTCTTTTCACTGTAAGTTTCCAGAATCACAAATTGAGCTGCGTGCCTCTTCAAGGATTACCAGAGCTTAATCTTCCTATGCAAAGGCAACCAGTTTCAGGCATGCAAGTAGGGTTTATTTAACTGCCCGCTGGTGCTTAGCGCGTTGATGTATGAAATCCCTCACAAATTCAGATTTACTTACTGCTAATGGGTTTACCACCTGCTCCTTCATCTCCTTCCCCCACATCCAGGAATGGGCCCATGGGTGTCACTCACAGCAGACTGATGGTGACACATGCAGCTGCACTCTGTGAACCGTCGCCCCAACCTGAGCTCTTGGTGCCTCCGTTGGCGCTGCCCATGTGGGGAAGCACAGCAGTGGTTCTGCTTGCATTGCCACTTTGGTTTGTGTTCTGCTGAGCCCAGGAGTGCTGCGTGGGCGCTGAGCAGGGAGCTGCACCTTGCAGGCAGGCAGGCAGTGGCAGGAAAGCTGGCTGAACTACTGAAGTACTATGAGCACCTTGCCATGTTCCTGGTGCAGTATGCAGGTACAGTGCGTTCCGTGTGCTTCTCTCACGCTGTCTGGATGAGAGTTGTTCGAATGTAGGATTATATGGAGTTGATAGAAGTAACTTTTGGAGGCTTGCTGATCTCTGCAGTGTGCTTAGGCAGCTCCTGTACCAATGGTGTGCTGGCAGCTGATGATTACAGAGCTCTGACCGTGACAGTGAAGCCAGGAGTAGAGTAGAAAGCAGTGCACAATCCCAGAGATAGGTGTGAAGCCTGGGAACCAGATCCAGAAAGCAAATGCTTGGTTTGGATGTGTGACTTTGAAGCTTCTGTGCTTTTCTTTTCTCCTTTCCCTTCCCTGCTGTTTTTGTTCTGTGTTTTCTAATTGATTGCTGCAGATGTTAGGTACTTTGTTTTCTTTTAAAGTGCATTCCTTTAGGCGTCAGAACAAGTGGTATGTAACCAGATGGGAGTCTTATATTCTGCAATCCTGTTTATTTCTGTTTAAGGAAAAGGACCACTGTTCAGGTTGAGAAATACGTATTTCACATATTGGCCAGTGTTGGCAAAAGGCAGATCCATATTTATAGCAAAGCCTGCGTCAGCCCATTTCTTGAGTTCTCCCTTCTGGATGCTGAGTAAGTGAGAAGCTTGGTGAGCAGGTGTAAACTCCGTGGGCTTCCTAAGCATGTGCTTGAAATGCTTGTAGGCGTGTGGAGGTGTCAGGGTACCTGTTACTACTTTGTGATTTGAGTTACAGGGGATGGATTTGCGCAGCTCCTTCTTGTTATCGGTCGGATGTCAAGAAAGATGTTTGAGAGCCTGATGAGCACAAGGCTGCTGCTGCTAGAGCACGTGCTGGGGTGAGCAGCTCTGTGTGCCCCAGGCAGTGCTGGGTTTGTGGGCAGAGCTGGTGGTGTTTGATGGGACGAAGGCAGCAGGGAAGGGTTTTGCAGAAGTCCTGAAGTGAAGCCGCCCTGTTGGGGTGCTGCCTTGAGTAATGCAGTGGTAGAGCCTTGCAGGGTGAGCTGTGCCACTTTGTTTCTTGGGGAGAATTGTTGTCGATGTTTTCTGCTGTCAGTAAAAAGAATGATCTGTGAAGCAGTGCTTTGCAGTTAAACTGGAGTTGAGCCTCTCTACTATAGATATATACACATACGTTTTGCTAGTCATTAAGCCAAGTTCTGTTAGTGGGAGTCAGTGGCTGGAAAACGAAGTCTTGTCAAGGGCCTGGCATGGGACCCAGCGTGGATAGATACTTGCCTTGATTTATGCCTGGAACATTCTGTATTCAGGCCCTTCCTAATCCCATATATAGCATCAGCGTGGACCCGGAGCGATGGGCAGGTCTGTGCAATGGTGGAGCTGCTGGGGGCAGCAGGAGGCTGCCACGTGTCTCAGTCAGAGCAGGCAGAACCCAGCAGAGTCCAGGGCTGACGACTGCCTGGAGCAGCCTGCTGTTCTCAGGGCTGCTGTGGGAGGAGGACCTGTGCTGGCAGTCATCTCACAGAATCGTGGAGCCGTGGAATATCCCAAGTTGGAAGGGACCCATGAGGAGCATTGTCCTGGCACCGTGCACCGCTGAAAGAGCCTGGCTCCATCATCTTAGCATCCTGACTTCAGATATTTATGCACATTAATAAGATCCCCTCCCAAACCCTTTCTTCTCCAGGCTGGAAACATGCAGCTGCTTTGATTAGACAGAGGTCCAAATGAGGAGCTGGCTCTTCACTTTCCTGCTGTTGTTCTTATTTGAAAAAATCAACTTCTTGGGTGGCACCCGGTGTTTCCTGCCTGGCATGAGAGGGAATTTCCTTTCTCCATCTCTTCCATGCTGCCTATAATCTCTGGAAGACCGTGCTGCAGACTTAGGCTGCTGCTGCTAATTATCTTGATGAGACTGGGAGCTCTTGGACACAGCACTGTCTGCTGAATCAGCAGCAGTGGTCTGTACCCATTCAAGAGTGTTTTACTTGGAACTGAAGCAGCCACCCCACCTCTGCTCCTGTGTGATGCAAGGCAAGAAGAGAAACGATAATGACTCCATTACCACAGTCTTTTCTCCTTTTATAGCTTTTTTCTTGTTAATCTGCCTGCTGGAAGCAGGAGGGGCATTGCAGGCTCACAGCTGCTACACAGCAAGTTGCCTGCTGGTTTGCAGTTATGCAGTGCTTTAGTTTTTGTGGAGAGGCTGTGGTCGTGCTGACGACTTGAGAGCATTTGTAGATCTGTTTCTGCTCCTTCCTGTGTGTCACATTAGCAGCAGAGCCTTCTGTGTGCAACTCAGATACGTGGATCCTAGCAGAAAATGATCTGCTCCTCAGAGCTGTGTTTGTGGCTGCCAGGGGAGCAAGCTGAATCAGACCGCAGGGAGTTCCAGCGAGTGTCTGGGCTGGCTGGCATGGCTGCAGGGCTGCTCCCTCCTGCTCTGTGCTGCTCTGTCAGGCTGGTTGGGCACCACAGGAGCTGCCTGGCAGTGCTGCAGGAGCATCCTTTGCCTTCCACACAGCTCAGCATTTGGCCTGTCAAGGATCTTGTCTTTTCCAAAAGTGGTGATGGAAATAATTGCACTGAGGAGCTGCCTTTGCTCTCCGGTGGGGTAGAAAGAAGTGGTGTGGGTGAGGAGCATTCACCCCTGTGCTGGTGTGGTGTGATGCTCCTGCAGGCAGTGCTGGCTGTCCATCCCTGTGTCAGGCCCAACATGGGCAGCATCTGCCTGCGGTCAGCGTGCTCTGCTGGACCCAAGTGTGAGAAAACGTGCTTTGAAGTTTAATGCTTGAGAATAAAGTTTATAATTATTACAATCACATGGAATCACAAGGTTGGAAAGGACCTACAAGCTCATCCAGTCCAACCGTCCTCCCATCACCATTTCTACCCGCTGAGCTGCTATCCACACCTCACAGCACTCATCCAGAAGCCTCTTGAGCACTCCTTTACTCTCGCTGTTTCTTTACTATGCACAGCTCTCTATTTTTAACCTGCTGCATTTGTGATTCGTTTTCCTGACCCCTCCCAGCCGCAGTGATATTTTGACTTTGGAGCATTGAAAAAGCAGTGCAGTAGGCACCTTGCATAGCTGGGTGCAACTATTGTTATTGCCAGCTGAACAGCACTCAGCTTTTTGGCTGCTTCTGCTCTTCTCACCTTTCAGCAGCTGAGATGAGAGCTCCCTCAGGCTCCCTGCTTCCACTCTCTTGTCTATTTACAGCCGTACACAGCAACCGTATTTATTAGCAAGTTCTGGGAAGTGGAATCCTCTAGAATAGATCTCACAGTGCTGGCTGTGGCTTGCAGCGTGCCTGGGGAAGGTTTGGTGTAAATGAAATGGCTGCTGTGTTTCAGCCCCTCGGTGCTGGGAGGCAGCATCGCTGTCAGCTTGGCTGCTTCTGGAGCTGTGCTGCTTCCCCCAGAGCATATGTGCACCTTAGCAGGAATGCAGCTATTTTTATCAATTCTCATTGGTCCTGGGCTTTTTTCTCTTTTCTTTTTTTTTTGCATTGACTTGAATTCAGAGTTTGCTGAGACAGAGATGAACACAGCAGAATATTTTAGTGTCTCTTCAGTTCTGGATCCCTACAAGTGCTGAATGCAACAGGAGATGGAACCGTGAACTCAGAGCTCAGTCGAGGGCAGTGTACATCTCCAAAACTTATCATTGCTTTTCGTGCTTGAAGCTTATGTTCAAAGTGCTGAATTTTTGAAGCCTCTGGTAACGTGGAGTTGTTTAGAGGCCCTTTTTCTTGTTACCACCCCTCGTTTTGAGAGAAAGGCCAAGTAAAAGAGGCAGGATCGATGGGGGCACGTACACGAGGCAGAGCTGGCCGTGGTTTGTGGATCACCACAGGTGACTTAGCACAGATTGACTCTTAAATGGATGTAATGCCTTGAAGTCAGAAACACGCTGGAAGCTGCAAAGCAATTTTTCTTCAGTCAGCTTTGGTTCAAACGTGCAAAATTAGCTTTTCTTCCTGTGAATGATGGCTGGCTGTTGAAGGATCTGTCTCCTCTTTGCTCCGTTTCACTGTCTCTCTTGCTGATCCCCAGCTAGATCTGCCAGCTCTCCTTCCTGAGGGAACGGATTGCTGAGCTCTCTTCCTTGGCTACAGGAGGGCTCAACTGCTTGCCAGCCTCCTTGATTAAAAATAGCAATAGCAATTGCAAGCGAGGCACGCCTCGTGTTTTTGCTAGTAAATGAGCCCAGGTGAAGTCACTACTGGTGACAAACCAGGCAAAGCTAAATGTCTATTATGGGTTGGAAGAAACAGAATGAATTTCTGGCTTCCAAGTTTCTGAACTGGGAAATACAGTGCAGTGCAGGAGAGGTGCACCCCTGCTTTATAGCATCGTGCAGCTTGATTTTTGTGGGTCCAAGGAGGGATGGTGAGAATAATGTTTGTAGATAACATTTTAAATTGATGTGAGTGGGGCATACTGGGGATGACAAACAGGAGGCATAGCTGCTTCGGGGGTCTGAAGGATACCAGCAGCACGTGGGACAGGACGTTGTTTTCATGATGGTGATATTGAGGCATTGCAAACTGTTATAAAGTATCTGAATCTATTTTTGTATTTCAGGCTTAAACCATCTGTCCTTTGATCCTGCCAGCAACAGCAAATCTCTGCAGTTTGGCAGCCTGAGTGGTGCATGCGTGTCGGAAAGCCCAACTGAGAATGGGAGTGATCCAGGCAAGAAGAGGAAGAGAACAAACGTTCCTCCAGGTAAGCCATGTAGCAGCTTGATATCTGGCAAAAGAGAAGGTGTCTGTGTAAGTGTAGACCAAAGCTAACGGCTGTGCTGAGGTGTCAGTGCTGGAAAGTGCCCTTGTGAGACCTCACCTGCAGTGCTGCCTTAGGCCTGGGGTCCCCAGCATGAGAAGGATGTGGAGCTGTTGGAGGAGGTGCAGAGGAGGGCATGAGGATGATCAGAGGCTGCAGCATCTCTCCTCCGAATAAGATCAAGGGAGCTGGGGGTGTTCAGAAATGTGTAATTATTCTTTGCTTCATTTCCCTGTTCAGCATGGAAGAAATGGCTTCAGGTGGCAGTGGAAATATTCTCTGCATGAGCAGACTGGTCGTCTCTGATTCCAGTGCATTTGTGGAGGTTTATACACGCAGAATATTTGTTCCTTCTTCATAAATTCTTATCTTTAATCAATGTTCCCTCAGGGTTCCTTAGAGCTGTGCATTGTAATGGAAAAAACATTTTAAGTGCTCTTGGAAGTCAGTGCTTTCATACACCTTGCATCCCTGAAATGTCTTCTGCTTGACAGGGAGGCTGCTTTTTTCAGACAGGCCCTTCCTGTGCGCTGGGGTCAAATCTGCTTTTGTATGCTGAAACAGCAGAGCCTTGCTGAGCAACGTTTGTCCTACAGAGCAATGAAGGTGTGCACTGAGCTCTTAATCACCTTTTTTTTTCCTCTCAGCAGATGGTGGCAGAAATCTGAGCCTAGACTCCATTTCAATGGGCTTGCCAATGTCAGACCCAACTGCCTGGGCCACTGCGATGAACAACCTGGGGATGGCTCCCATGGGGATGACAGGACAGCCCCTCCTGCCAGGTGTGAGACTTTATCCAGACTGTGCCCACCTTTTCTTTCCAACGTGTCTTTGGGAAGAACCTGTGTCAGCTGAGTTGGATTAATGGGGTTTTTGTATGCGGTGCACGTTTATAAGCTGCGTTCATGTGTTGATGTCAGTGAGCAATATATCTAGAGGCTGCTGAGTTTTTGAAACTGGGTTGAGAAGAAATACATGTTTATGGATGCAAACAATGGCTACTGGGGTAGTGGGAAGGTGGGTTGTACCTGTAGGTAACTGCAGCAGACCAGCAGTGGAAGTGTTTCACGTGAGACATGTCTACAGAGCTCAGGAAGCCAGTGATACCAAGTAAAGCATTATTCTAAGCTGAACTAAAGCTGCATAGACTGAAGGGTGGGAGGCAAATGATGAGGAAAGCAATAAAGCAGTAAAATGGATTTGGCAGAAGATAATGGAGGATTTTGCTCAAGAAATGGCCACCTGGTAGTGTGGAGTACTGCTCAGAGGTGAGTCAACCTGTGCCCAGGGTATGTTAAAGAGCTCCTGTGTGGCAGCAGAGATGTGCTATACGTGGTTTCACTGCAGTGTGGTGGACCTGTGAATCAAAATCCTGAGTTGAAATTACTGTTTCAGTCCTCTGCTACAATTGAGCACTTGAGAAGGATGCTGTCCCATTTCTGAGTAACTGCCTTCATACCTAAGGAGAGAGTGCCTGCGTTGGTGGCACTCTACAGTCCTGTTACTCCTCTGGTGGCACAGTGCAGGTAGTTTGCTGTGCAGCTGAGCCTGTATTTAGCTAATAGTGTCACTGGATATAAATTTTGCATGCAGTCTGTATTCTTCTGTTCCCTAGGCCTTGTTTCACATTTGTCTTTGCTGTAAGAGATGCTTTCATGCATTTTTCTCCTATTCATGTATATGTGTCAAATAAAAGTCAGCAGAAGTCTGTCCTGGGAGAGCACGCAAGTTTGAAGTTGCTTTCTTATTCCCTGCTGTAAGAGCAGGGGAGACTTTAAGCTTCCAAGTAATTTTTGTTCTGATCCTTCTAAGATTGGACTTTGAGATCAGGAGTTTTGCTCCCAGGACAGATGACTCAGAATGGTTTAGAAGGAGCACAGTGTTTTTTTGAGACCCGAATGCTCTGGTGAATGTGGATCTGTTGTAAAGCATAATGGTGAAGTTCAGACCAGACATATTTGTAGTACCAATGAAAGAGGAGAGGTAATGGAAGATTGGAATGAGTTGGACCATCTTTGCTCAGTGTCAGGTGAGACTAAAGTTTCAGGTCACGTTAAAAAATTGTTTGAAAATGCTTGAGCACTTACTAGCCTCGTTCTGTTTCTACAGATGAAGTAAAGCATGTAGTTGTGAGATGCTTTGACAAGACTACAATGTCTAAAATGAATACACATCATCTTTCACGCCATCCAGGTAATACTAGTTTTATATAAAAGTTCTCACAAACAGCAAACAGCAGCTGCCAGGCCTGATGTTTTTGAACCTCTTAGAATCCTTGAGGACTTCTTTTTCTTTTTCTCTTTTCTCCTTCTTGCTAATGGAGACTGGCTTTTCTGAATTAGCATCACAAGCCTCTCAGATGCTGGCCTGTAGCCAGGAGATAAGCTTATATAGAGAGCCCTAGGCAAGATGGAGAGTGGTCCAGTCTATTGCTGTTGGAGCAGTAAAAAGTGAGATTCACCACAAATCCAAAGACCCTGGGATCTGTTTCCCCCTGTATGTACACCTTTTACCTTTCATTATAATGTAACTACATTCATCTTCTCTGCTACTTCTTTTGCTTCTGCTAATTGTATCAATTCATGCTTTCTTCTAAAGCCTGAATCAGAGAAATTCCCATCCTGGATTTCTTATCCCTCTGATTTTTCCAGCTCCTGTTTTTCCCAGCTGTCCCTGTTTTCTGCCAGTGAGTGCTGAAATAATCTTGATCTCATAGATGTACCTTTGCCAAATTGTGCTGAGAAGGTGAGCAGATCTTTACATTCTAACACGTGGGCATTTCAACAGTTGCTGCATTTTTCCAGCAGGTCACTGTTGCTCCATATCCCCCCTTGTCCCTGCAGTGAGAGCATTGGTCATTCCTCTTCCTTCCAGCTTGTTGAACTGCAGTTTCCTTTCAGTGGTGATGCTGTTGTTTCAGCTCAGATCAGGAACTTGCTCAGAAACAGATCTTTTATTTTTTCCTCCTGCCTTCTATCTTCAGTGAGCGCGACCATTGAAAGTCACAGCCGTTCACAAGGTGACCTTCCTCTTGATGTTCAGCAGGGATCTAGGGTGGGGTAGCAAGACTTTCCCTTTCTCTGAAGTCTGTTTCATGGTGGAGCTTTTGCTTTGGGTCTGTTGGCACCATTCATGTGTGGCGTAAAGCGAACAGCAACACTTGCAAGCAGAGCATTGTAGGTAAAGTGTGTAAAAATGTAGCCCTGGACATAATGTTCAAATTACAAAGGAAAATAAAGCTCAGCTACCAAACTGAGACATCCTGTTTGTGCACTCAGAGTTGTCTTGCTCCCAGATCTCTGCGGAGCCAAGCAGGAGCTGGTTTTAGTGTTTGCAAAGTGAAGAATACAGAATCGTTTCTCTGCCCTAGTGATATGAATAGCATTGAAATGGTGCCAGCTTAAGATCAAAGGAAAATGCTGTCTCTGCACCACTCTGCTCTGCCTGCTGGCAATTTTCATCTGTGCCCTGCAAAATTAATCTTATCTGCTTACATCTGTAAAAAGCAGCCAGCTTCAGCCAGTTCTGCAGCGCTCAAAACTGCACATTCAGGGACAGGGTCCTTCGGTGCTTTGGGGAGCTCCTGTGTCTTCAGAGCTTCTGCTACAGGGAGAGGAATGGTGGGAGGCAGTAGAGAAGGTGGTTTGCAGCTGGGATCTTAAGCTGCTAGTAGCAGCTGGCCCTGGTGGTGCTGGGTGTCCTTGGCTGCTGATGTTATCAGCTCAGGAGTTTTCTTTGGAAGCCATTTGTTTAAGTATACATTTTCCATGTTGGTTGCCTGAAAGTCTTGGTTTCCCCAAGGTTCACAGCTTCTGAGCAGATGAAACACCTCATGTTTGACAATTCTTTTTAGTTGTAGTTGGTGTGGGTGGTAAATCGAAGCAAAAAGCAGAATAGCATACTTCTTGTTTAGTCTTCTGACTATATCTGAATAAAGCTTAGGAACATTGAGCAACGTAAGATGTGTGTTACCACTGTAGGTTGCACTTAATGGGAAAGTGTTTCCTTAAGCATTTAGGAAACTTAAGCTGCTGTACCTTTTACCCAGAATTCTTCTAGAACTTTCTTAACTGATGTTCCTACACTTCATTTGAGTAATTTACTGGGAAAGGTTCTGGTGCTAGATTGGAGAGGGTACGTATGGAATAGAAAGGGGAGCAGTTAATGTGAACAGAGGAAATGTATTTTTCTGAGGCAGTTGACAATTTCTTACACGTTATTTCAAGGGAACAGATGTGAAGTTCTGCTGAGGTAAGTGGTCATGTCTCCTCTCTCTTGTTTACTCAGGTAATTTTCACTGGTGTTTGTAGATGCAGTACTTTACTTGCTGTCCAAATGAACAATTACTGTACGAGTCCAAAACTGATTCCCTTGTTCTCTCCCCCATTTAGATTTTGATCCTGCTCTTGGAATGATGACTGGAATCCCTCCAATCAATCCCATGATGCCAGGCTTGGGCATAGTCCCTCCTCCCATCCCTCCAGACATGCCTGCTGTGAAGGAGATCATTCACTGCAAGAGCTGCACTCTTTTCCCACCTAACCCACGTAACGTCTGTTTATATTTTTGTCCCCTTTCTATCTATGAATTTTTGTGTCTATATAGAAAAGTACATACATAAAAATGTGTACATCAGAGAAAAGAGTCACGTGGAACCCCTTTAGTGACTGACCAGATCCATCAGCCATTGCATTATGTTTTTTCCTCATGTACCTCCAGCCTCCCTGCTGGCAGGCCACCATAGGAAGCTGAAAAGTCTTTGTGCAAGCACTATTCAACAACCACTAAAACATCTCTGTTATCAACATTGTTTTCATCTGAAAGCCAGAACGCTGCACCAAATCAGCTACTGTGCAGGAAATTGACTCAACCCTGGATGTTCAGTTTGGAAGCAAGCTAGTAAACGTGTTTGTTGAATGGCACCTCAGCAATGCTTGGCACAACTGTTTGTCAGTCAAGACAGATATACTGGGGCTAACTCATGCATTTGAAGGAAACCAGGACATCTGTCAGTGCAGCTGGGCAGATGCATGGAAATTGTGCTGACAGACCTGATCTGTTTTTGTTCTGCTATCTTCAGATCTGCCCCCTCCAGCAACAAGAGAGAGGCCCCCAGGCTGTAAGACCGTGTTTGTCGGGGGGCTGCCGGAAAATGGAACCGAGCAGATCATTATGGAAGTGTTTGAGCAGTGTGGAGAAGTCATAGCTATTCGGAAGAGTAAGAAGAATTTCTGTCACATCCGCTTCGCTGAGGAGTTCATGGTGGACAAGGCGCTGTATCTTTCTGGTGGGTATATTTCTGTCTGAGATGGAAGCTTAAAATTCTGGGCTGTGGGTGTAACGACTTCTGTGTGATTACGATGATAGGCTTGATAGCCATTTGTCTCACGTGGTGTCAGTTTGCCTCTTTCTCTGCTCTTTATGCTTGTCTGCTACAATATCTAAAAGCTGCTCCTGATAGGAAAGAGAGCAACGCTTCGTTACCTTGGGTACTGTAGACCCTTGCAAACTATCAGCTCTTCTGTTCAAGGTCTTGCTATCTTTGTGGGAGTCACAGACAGGCAGAGGCACAGGGAGGTTGTACCCGTGTAAATCACCGATCCTATGTGAACACTGTTGTCATCACCACCAGGCTATCGCATCAGGTTGGGTTCCAGCACTGACAAGAAGGACACCGGGCGCCTGCACGTGGATTTTGCCCAGGCTCGGGATGACCTCTATGAGTGGGAGTGCAAGCAGCGCATGCTGGCAAGGGAGGAGCGCCATCGCAGGAGGCTGGAGGAGGAACGCTTCCACCCGCCCTCCCCACCTCCTGTTGTGCATTACTCTGACCACGAGTGCAGCATTGTTGCGGAGAAGCTGAAAGGTCAGTGGTTCTGTGGCCTGCAGCTGCCTGTCTGCACAGGGTCGTCTTATAAAAACAAACGTACGTCTGACTTTGGTTTCTTCCAACCCATTTTTGTTCGTGTTTAAGTGACGAGTTTAAATCCTGAATCCAGGGTGGTGAGGCACTGGCACAGGTTGCCCAAGGAGGCTGTGGATGCCCCATCCCTGCAGGCATTCAAGGCCAGGCTGGACGTGGCTCTGGGCAGCCTGGGCTGCTGGTTGGTGACCTGCACACAGCAGGGGGTTGGAACTGATGAGCATTGTGCTCCTTTTCAACCCAGGCCATTCTAGGATTCTAAGGCTTTTTTCCAAAGCCTAAACCCTATCTGTGGCCTGATTCTTTCAGTCAGAGGATATTTGCTGTCACGAAAGAGTACATCTAAATAGGCATATAAAGTTATCTCATACATTTCCAGCAATTGATTCCTCTTTTCTGATGGTCCTCTCTTTCTGTGGACTCTACAGCTTTCTGTCAGCTCGTTTCCATCCTTGTGATTCTATGAATTAGGTTTGGACTCCTTTGTGTAGTCTTGTGTTTGGGTAGTGCTGTGCTTTCATGAACCCAGGGCAGCCAACCTGAGCAAGCTGACCTTTGAGAGAGGGCAGGTCAGTGGCAGCAGGAAAAGGATCTGAAAGCTGCACAGGCAAACTTGTGCTTCCGTGATTGAAAGATACCATTTCTTGCTGCAGATGACACTAAGTTCTCAGAAGCTGTGCAGACCTTGCTCACCTGGATAGAGCGTGGAGAAGTGAACAGGAGGACTGCAAACAATTTCTACTCCATGATTCAGTCGGCCAACAGCCACATTCGCAGATTGGTGAACGAGAAGGCAGCGCATGAGAAGGAGATGGAAGAAGCTAAAGAGAAGTTCAAGCTTGCTCTCTCAGGGATTCTGGTTCAGTGTGAGTAGTATTTCTGCACTGAGTGTTTGCTACCTGTTGTTGTAGAGAGGATGCTTAATTTCTAGAGTCTGGTAAGATCATGCTAAAAACTCACCAGGGCCATAAATGACAATGGCTTCTATGCAGCTACAGTTAATTTATAAGCATATGTCATTAACTTGGCAAAAGTTTCTTGTGGTGCCTTTTATTAAAGTCAGAGTCCACATCTGAGGGGAGGAGAGATGAATTCCTAATGTGTTGTTTTTTTTTCCTCTTTTAATTGTAGTCTATTAGTAATTTTATAATCTTTTCAACACTGCACTTCTGTGTACAGACAAGGTAAGTTCCTGGTAATCTGATGGCTCAGCGAAATGTGCAGGATTTATTCATCAAAGGTAGGATGCATTAGAGTGCTCCCAATACCCCATTGTCAGTAACAGCTGAAGTTATGATGAAAACCTATTGCAGAACAGAATTTTGAACCTGAGTCCCAGTACTTTATTAGATCAAGGAAGAGCTGTTGGCTCTCTTAGTTCTAGAGTGTGATTTATAGCAGTCCTCAACCCATCTGTAGCCTATTACACATCTCTTCTTAGTTACTAAGTCTGAAATATTTTTTAAGAGTACTTTTTTCCATAGCTTTACTAAGCCTCCTTGTACCTCTTGGCTAGGATGTGAACATTCTTAACTTTGGCTTTATATTTGTTAATTTAATTGTCTAGTATTTGATTTATATATATTTTATTCTATCGAAAAATATGGGCAAACGGTCCAGAAGAAAAAGCAGTGTGCACTGCAGAGTAAGTAGTAATAGTCAACTGCATGCAAGTCACCTCTATAAAACACCTAGTGGTATCTCAGGCACGTCTAGATTTATTAGTTAATCTAAGGAGCAGAGAAATGATTTCATTTCCTAAGAGTTATACCTACAGCACCACAGGTGTGGGGAAAAAACAGCTAGGTGTACCTTCTGCTGTTGGTTGAAATCTCCTCCCAGGGGAGGCGCTTCTTATTTACAAAAACCTCTGCAAATTTTCTAGGAAAATATTTTAGAATAAGTCCAAGGAAGAAAAAAGAAGTTGCTGCTGGATGTGTAGGACGCAGCTGCACTGTTCTTTGGGACTGTACCCACTGGGCCTCAGAGCATGCAGGGTGCCAGCTTTCACAAGTCGTGAGAGCAAATGTTAGAGAGCAAGTGCTGTCCAGGTCCAGGTGTAGCCATTGCACTGATAAATGGTGTTGCACATGGAATGTTTTTGTCAGTGCAACGTGTGCCTTCCTTTCTTCCCGCTGAGTGCAGATGCAGTTTTCCCAGCTGACATGACTCTGTGCTGCTGGCCTGGTCAAGTACCCGCTTTCCTTTCCAGGCACAGAGTCCTGAGCATGGCTTCAGCACAGTACAGTGTTATAACGAAAGGTTAGCCAAACACCTGCCTGATTCCACTCTTTTACTCCTTTACTCCTCTTGTTCGCCCTCTCTGGATGATATTCTGGCCTGATTTGTCTGCTGATTTGATACTACAGTCGAGCAAATAGTGGCCGTGTACCATTCTGCCTCCAAACAAAAGGCTTGGGACCATTTCACGAAAGCTCAGCGTAAGAACATCAGCGTGTGGTGCAAACAAGCAGAGGTTGGTAATTTTTTATTGTGCTAGATCCTCCAGCCAGTCTCTTTCTTGTCAGGATATTGATTTTAAGTTTGCACGATGCTCACGTGGATAACAACATCTTAATTCACAGTGTAAGATGGGAATTACTCGGTCGTCTCTTGTTCCAGGTAATGAATTTGCTGTTAGCATTTGTGTTACTAGTAGCAATACGTTCAGATCTGTGTGCTGATTGAAGCTGGATATTGATCTGTTTTTAATGTTAAAGCAAGAGGTATTTCTAGAGAGATATTAAGGGAAAGAAGATGAGGATTACCACTGACATCTGTTTTGTCGCATTTCTACTGATCGACTTGAGAGATGGAAATAATTGCAGCTGGACAGTCTGAAAGATTTGAGGGAAGATATTCTCATATTTGCACATTTATTTCATGCATTGATGTTGCTAAGAGGGGAAATAAGGATTTAAAGGTGGTGCAGGAGAGAATGAGGGGGGGGGGTGAAAGGAAGTGTGTGACTCCAACATCTAGTAGATGTCTGCTGGGATTGTAAGGGAACTGAGCTTGTGTAGGTTGGGAAAGGGAAGGCTGAAAGGGTCCCCACCAGCAGCTTTCTGCTATTTAAACCAGGGGGTCACAAGGAGGCAGAAATGGTCTCTTCTGATAATCACACAGCATGAGGGTGAGCAGCAGTGGTCACATGTGAAGACAAGGGAAGTTCCATTTGGGTTTAAGCCTCAAATTCTGTTCCTGAAAAGCAGTTCAGCCCTGCAGAAGAACCCAAGGTGACAGGGGAATCTCCATCTTTGAGTTCTGAGTAAGGCCCTTGGCAGCCCGATTTGCAGGGAGCACATCAAAGAGAGCCAGAGTTAACTTAAAGACCTTAGGAAGTATTGGTTCCAGCCCAAGCCTTCCTGTGATTCTGTGTTTTCCTTATGTATTATGTTCCTTATTACAAAGAAATCTGTTCCAACAAAGCTAAAAGTCACCTTTGACCTTTAAAATAATTTTAATGTCATCTGTAAATCTGGGCAAAGTGAACAAGTTGGTGGTAACTGTTTACCCAAAAGCCATTTATCTGTGGGGTTGGATGTATGCAAGCCGCCTTTCAGCATAGCTGCAACCTGAGAAAAATGGGAGTGTTTGCAGAGCTTGATAGTATTCAGTGAATGCTCTTATGGTAAAAAGCAGAGGAGTGATCCTCCACAACTCTGTTAAACTCTGAATGACTGTTTTGGGAAGTTCACAGCTGAGAACCCCCCATGACATTGCACTTCTGGGGCTTTCTTTCCAAATCCCACTGAGCTAGTCCTTTCTTAGCAGCTACAATGGAGGAGCTAATGTTTGTTCTTATACCCAAAAAGCCAAGTGGAGAGTCTTGATTCAGGTTACGCCTCTGCTTTGAGCCCTAGTGCTGCTGTTTTCTTTTCTGCTTGCCTGAGATTACTTACCACGGTTGGGGTGGGAACGCGCTCTCCATTTGGAGTGGTCTGTTTTTCCAAGGTAAGTTCTCGCAGTGGGAAGAGGCAGCAAGACCTGTTATGAGGCATCTTCCAGGAATGCTGCTGGGCTCAGCGTGCGTTCCTTTCTCAGGATTGTTTCTGAAAGGAAGATGGCCCCCCAACACCTTCTTGCTACGGTTTTTGTTGGAATTCAAGAAAAGCTTGGAGGAAATTGAGGAGAACTTGGAGGGCAGCTTGGGGAATGGGTGTGTATTGGGAATCATTGGGCTGGGTCAGGGTCTCTGCTGCTCTGTCAGTGGTGATTTAAGGTGGTTTTGGCAGACAGTGCAGGTGGGTCTTGCAGCTGAGGGCAGCTCATGAAGAAGCCATTGCAGCTTGAGACTTGGTGGAACACCATACTGCTATAACTACCAGCCAGCTTCTTTTCTTGCTTTGGAAGGGCCTTAATTAAGTTTTTCTCCTCTCTGATGCTTTTCTTTCCCCATCCATGGCTTCCCTTCAGCCACAGAGCAGCCTTGGTACATCCTGCTGTGCAGCCTTGGCCTCACTGTGTGCTGTGCTCTCTGCAGGCTCTTTCAGCTTCTGGGCCAGCTTTTAGATTTTAGCTGTTGGGCAGAATTAGTTAAAAACAGTAGGAACGTTTCTCTGTGATCTTCAACCCAGCTTCCATTTTATGTGTGGTCTCCAGGGCAGGCAGCAGTTGTTTTGGAACTGAAACCAGCCCTGTCCCTCCTGCTCAGGTTTGCTGTATTCTTGTCCTTTCCCCCTTGTTCCCAAGGTATCATCCAGGCTGAGAGTATGCTCATTTTCCCTGAGGCAAAGGAGAGCATGGCTTAGAGGGAAGATAGAAGAGTCAGAAATGCCAGTCGTGCTGATAGATTGGCTCACGGTAGATGATGTTCTTGATTGAGTAGACTGTGCCAAAAATTTCTATCGTTTCCCTTTTCCTGTATGATGGAGCTGTGTTTTGCAGACTTAAGACTTCTGCATCTCTTAATCCATACAATCTGTCCCTTATAATCTGCATTTAAAAAACATCTGGTTTCTGAACCTTAGGAGATTCGTAACATTCATAATGACGAACTAATGGGCATTCGAAGAGAGGAGGAAATGGAAATGTCTGATGAAGAAATAGAAGATCCATCAGAAATGAAAGAAACGGATGAATCAGGTAAACTTCTTCTTGCAGTGGTTTGTTTTGGGAGCCCCGCTCAGATCTGACTGTGCAGAGCAAAATCAATAGCAGTTTTCTGCTGCCAAGGTTTAACAGCATGCAGTCTCTAATACTTGCTTTGCCTTCTGTTAGTCTTGCTAAACTTTTGTGCATTCATACAAACTGATGGACAGTAAGAAGTTCATAGCACTGTACCAGGACTTAAGAGGAAGCTGTAGGAAACCTTTTTACAGGCAAGCACAACATCAAGGGATATTGGTTATTTAAGCAGTGGGTTTTATAGCTATTTCTGTTGCTGTCAGCTGCTCTACCTTGTCTCTTCCTTTCTTCCAAGCTCCTGATGTCTTTTTGAATTTGCTGGTAGATATCCTGCTGCAGCAAATCCTGCAGTCATAGGTACAGAACATACATATGTGACACTCTTCCTTTTGCATCTGAAGGTTACATTATGAGACAGAGAGAGAGAAGAAGACTGCTTCTCCAACCAGTTGTTATTTTGTAATCGTTCACTGTGGCTCCATTGAGCTCCTGCCAGCTCAATAATTCCTTTTGCACGAGTTTTTAAGTGTGATTATAATTCTCAAAATCCTTGTCACTGATTGTTACTCGTCATCTCCTGCTGAATTAGGGTGATACAGCAAGTTAACAGTTGTTGGAGTTATGTATTGATATTAAAATATATCCTACATTATCCACGCCCCCCAACCTTTCCTCACCTCTCCTAATTCTGTAGCCTTTTCTGAGCCTTCCAAGGGCAGTGTCCAAGTCCTGCATAAGTGCCTGAGCAGGCTGTAACCATGGCCCAGGTAGCAGAGGAAAACAGCAAGGGCAGGTGGCAGAGCATGTGCTCCACATGGTGGGTATGCTTTGAAACCTGCTGAAGCTATCTTTGCAGTGCTAATGTCATATAACCCCATTCCTAAATTTATCAACAGCAGGCTGATGGAGCTGTTTCATCCCATGGCTTGATGGGGATCATCTTGTGGCTGAGGGTGGCAGTAGAGCCTGTCCAGAGTCTTTCAGCTTTTCTGATCAGGAAACCTACTTCCTTGCCTACATCGTCGTTTTACTCCAACACATTCTTTTGCCTTTTCCTTTTTTTCCCCCAAGTTAAATACTGCTTTTCCCCTAAGGAGATGTTCTTTGTCCACAGCAGTGTGTTTTTCTGAAGAGTGGTTGCAAGAAACTCTCTTTAGTACTGTGGATTTGTAACTGAGACTTGGCAGTCTCAGAAGTGTGAGAGCCAGCTCATGCCCAGCTCTGATTTTTGACCACTGCCTGCCTTGTTTTCCAGCACTTGTGTCACAGGTGGAAGCCCTGAAAGAAGAAAATGACAGTCTGCGCTGGCAGCTGGATGCCTACCGGAATGAAGTAGAGCTCCTAAAGCAGGAGCACGGCAAAGCCAGCAGGGATGAAGACACAACCAAAGAGCAGCAGCTGAAACTTCTCCAGCAGGCTCTGCAGGGAATGCAGCAGGTGGGCCTGGGCTTCCATCTGGCTGTGGCCTTGCTACAAAGACAAGGGGGCTGTGGTGCAGGGCACAGGCACAAGCAGAGGTGTTCTGTTAATCCTACTTTACGAATTCCTTGTGTGATGTTGGCTGTGACTCCTGGAATAGTGAGTGTGCTGACCTTCCCTCGAAGCCCTGTGAGATCCTGATTGCTGCCATGAGCAAAAAGGTGGGAAATCCCAACTTGCTCTGCAGCCTTTTCTGACGTTTACTGGGCTTTCATTCTCACATGGATTTGTAGATCATGTGTTGCTCTTTGGGATTTCCTTAGGCCAAATATCAAGTGTTTAGGTTCCTTGTAAGTCTTAACAGTATCCCTTCATGTCTTAAACCAGACTGATAACCAAAGCATGTAGAGTACACGATAGTCCAGCTATGCACTTCATTAACATTAGAACCTGCTGTGGAGGCTGTGGTTCACTGAAGGAATCTGAGGTAGGCACTAACTGCATTGCTATTTGTAACATCAGAGCTGGCTGGAGGAGCCTTCTCTAATCACCTTCAGCTATTTGTGTGTAAGGAAATAGCAGGAATGGCCAGACAACAGATTTTCCTTTTTGCAGATGTCAGGGAGTTAAAGTTTCTCTATGTGCCACTGCCAGGATAAGAAACCATGCTGAAAGAGCTCTGAACTGTTTAACTTTTCTCTTCCAGCATCTTTTGAAAGTTCAAGATGAATACAAAAAGAGAGAAGCTGAGCTGGAAAAAGTGAAAGAAGACAAACTAAAAATCGAAACGTTATTAGAAACCCTTAAGGAGCAGGTATGGGACTTCTTGATCCTTATTCTTCAATAGTAAATGCAGTTCTTGCACTTCATGGCCTGTAGCATGTGCAAGGAAGGAGAGGGTGTAGAAGATGCCTAGGCTTGCTTAGGAGAAGTGGCCTTTTGAAAGGTAGAGAAAATTACCTGATTAATTGGAGGTTGCATAAGTGAACTTCCTGATTGCTTCATGTAACAGTGAGGCAACCATCAGAAGTAACTGGATAAATACAAGGCTGTATCTTGTTTGTGGGTTTGCATGTGAATCTAGGCTTGCTTGGTCCTCTCCTCCGTAGCAGACTCAATTTTATGTGTACCTACAGGATAGATGAGAAGTATTGCAGAGCACTTCTCATGGAGGACTGTAAAGCAAGTGCCTTTGGACCTTTCCTTCCCTGACTTTGTATCATTAACCCCACCATTTTGTGCCTTGCTCTAGGGAAGGTGATAAATACTTAGCTTTTTAGTAATTAAAATAGAGCTTGAATACCAGAGATCTCCAGTGTGGGAGCTTTGATGGATATTAAAGAACAAAAATAACACACTAACATCAGTAACCTTTCCTTTTCTTACACATAGCAAAGCATAGCAAATGAAGAGGACAAAGAGAGAGATGTTACTGATGGCCAAGGGAATGTAAGTAAAGTCTTCTGCTGCTTTAGTCAGCATTTTATTGAGGGAAGTAGTGATATCTCATTGTACAATGAGCAATTGACTGTTGCAAAGCATACAGACGTGGTACATAATGGCCTGTCTATCAGTTTACAAGTTAAGAACTTCAAGTTATCCGTAGCAACTTATTTTGAGGATAATAAATTATGTGAATTTACGTTTTAATTCAGTTCTGTGAATTCACGTCAAGGAGGGTTCTGATCCCAAGCCCTCTGCAGGCAGGAGGCACTTGCTTAATCATGCTGCCACTGTTTATGCATCTAAAAAATGTACATGTGCATCTGAATTAGTTGCTGCAAGACTTTCTGTCTAGTCTAGTTTTGGTCTTCCAGGGCAGATGTCATGTGAGTGACCAAGGATGATGAAAGTGCATGTTGTGGTGTTTTATTTAACATCATTAACTTCAGTCTAGCTTGGTTATTCAGACATGCAAGTTCTGATAGCAGCATGAACATCATTCTGATGTATTGGATGCCTTTTGCAATAGAGAGATAAATAAAGCAATATGATGGCTCATAGAAACAGGAGAAGAAGAATACAAAGTCAGGTCTTACTGAGCTGCTGCTTGGTGTGTAAGTGTGCTTCCTGTGCTGTCGGTGTGTGGAACAGGCCTGTGTGTTTTTTTTCTGCAGGAGAGCAGTATGCCCAGAGTTTGTGCATGCAGCCAGGAGAAGGAGTGTCCAGTTGAGAAGACACTGAGCAATAGCCCTGTGAAATCAGAACGAGAAGCTCTCTTAGTTGGTGAGGCCTTTTGATTAGTGATGATGTTAGAGACTGAAGTGGTGGGAGTTCCTTCGGAGCGGCCTCTCAGCTGCTAGGGGCTGCCTTTTGTTTCTTGAGTTGTGCCTGTAGAGGTGGGAGTCCTGCAGCCTACAACACACGGCCCTCTGCTGCTCTGCCCATTGACCTCTGTCTTTTCCTGCTCCTTAACCTGGCACAGCTGGAGCAGAGTTCTGCTTTCCTCTTCTTTAGCCTTGCATCCCCACATTTATAATAGCTCCCTGCTGAATTCTGGTGAGGTTTGACATGGAGCACGTTACCATTACTTGGCAGGGAGTGAGAGTGGTGAGATCTCTAAGTGTTAGCCACCTGCATCACTTAGCTGTCATTTACTTTGCAGCCCACAGACCAAACTTCACTGAATTTAAAACCAGAAATGCCAAATAAGATCCCTGTGTGCAGTGCCAGCAATGGCAGAGAGCTGGTGTTCTCAGCTGATGGTTCTCATGAAAATGACATTTGTGGCTTTCCTTTCCCCAGGAATAATTTCAACATTTCTTCACGTGCACCCATTTGGAGCAAGCATAGAGTACATTTGTTCCTACCTGCAGCGCCTGGACAGCAAAGTAGGTGCACTAATACCCTCATTTCCTGATTAAACACCAATTAAACATGTTTGAATGCATGCAGTCGTTAGAGGGCTTCTGTAACCAACAGCATCTTGTGTTTTAGTGAAATTTCCCTTTCCTTTTCACAGATTTGCACCACAGAAGTGGAAGTTCTCATGACCAGACTACAGACGACATTTAAACAGGAGCTGAGTGGGGTTGGGGCCAGTTTGGAGAAAAAATGGAAGTTTTGTGGCTTTGATGGCTTGAAAATGACTTGAACTTCAGCTGAACTGACTTAACACTGAAAGCAACAGCAGGATGTGTGCGTCAAGAAAATTTGGGATGCCTCTTACCTCTGTTTCTGATGATTATCTTGCACGCATGGGATAATAATGTAAGTGAAATTTTAAGTCCAGATTAGCACTAGGAGAAACTTCAGGTGCTGGAGCTTCTTTGAGTTATTTTGTTAACAGGCAAAGTGCTGTTTGATACATTTTGTGTACAAAGTTCATGTCTGATATTTTCAAGCACAGCATGTAGACCCAGTGTTTTGCCAATGTTGTATCTGTTTCGTGTGCCCAAATCTCTGGTTATCATTGTACCTTCTTTTTACTGATAGAAACATATAGACTATCCACTCAGACAATAGTTTTCTGGTTTCTAGAACCACCAAAAGGAAAAAAAAAAAAGGCATTTTTTTAGACCTTTATATGCTAAAAAAGTAAATATGTTTAAGCAGAAGATTTAATTGAGCCTAACAATCAGTTCTTTTTCATGCTCTTTTCTCTACTGAAGGTTTAACTGTTAAGCTAAGGTGAAGGCAGTGTCACCAGGAGTGTGATTATAGCAGTACCTCTGGGGTGTGCATTGCAAAATCAGTCTAAACAAACTTTTTGTGGGAGGGATATTTAATTTTCTACTGATCTGGGTGGAGCAAAAGGCCTACATCAGACCTGTATTTTTACTGATTGTTTACCATCAAATTTCTCCACCTGCTTTGTTTTTGAGACTGATCTTCACAAAGTGTGAGAAGCAGCACAGACTGCAGCTTCCCAAGGGCTGTTCCTCGTGTTCTCAGTAAACATCAGACACTCAGCCCTCTGCAGAAAATTAGTAAGATAGACTCTGAAATGCTTTAACAATCAAAAAACCAAACGAAAAGGAATCCACGCTGTCATCAGACAGAGCTTTGGTAGTGGATACCTCCTGGAGTTGTAGAAGTGAGTGAGGGACCTGCATGTATCTTATTGTGGTGCAGGCTGCAGAAACGAGTGGAACAAACCTTTCTATTGGGACCAGGCTGCCCATGCTGGGGGGAGCTACCTGCTCACCTTGCTCCTGACACTGAAAGCCTGCTACACTGGAAACCCTTTTAAAGAAATCTGAGTATTTGTGTCACTACAAGTGAACGTTGTATTTTTAAGGAATAAACATTTTTTATGTTCCAATCTCAGCCTTGCTGCTTTCTTTTTCCTCACCTGACTTGCGTTGTCTGATCCAAGAAGGGGGTGCTCCAGAAGTAAGACAGAGGGTTGGAGGCCCTGCCCTTTGTGAGCCTGGATATTCTCTGCTCTTGTAGCAGACATCTGTTCTTCAATCTGCCCCAAGGCATATCTGTGCGTGGGGCTCCTTGCTGTCCTTGCTCCTTCACGTCCTTGAAGAGGTCAGGACTCACCTTCTGGCACCTTTCTGTCCTCTGGGCGAGGTGTGTGCAGGTACACACACAAATGCCGACATGGGTCCTGATCTAGCTGCCTTTCCATGACAGTTATGCAAATGTACACATGAAATGCTGAACGGTTTCAATAGACTTCTTGCTCTCAGAAGTAATTATCCCTTGCATCTTTTCCTTACTGACTGGTAACACCTCTTTCTGTGAAGTATAACTAGGTTCCTATAGCTGCTCTGGATATACGGTGAGCAGTCATTAGGTATAATGAAGTAGAACCCAGCGTTCTCATTTGTCTTTAAGCAGAGAAGCTCTAAGGCACTGCAGGAGAAGCTCACGTTGCTCAGTCCGTGCTTGCAGCCTGAAGAAGCACGCCTCAGAGCCCTGCATTTCTACGTTCTGGCGCTCCTCTAGGCCCTGTCGCACACTGACGGCCACTGCCGGGCCCAAACCCCACCGCCCGCAGGCAGTCAGGCCGGGCCTGGCGCCCCGCGGCGGGGCCTGAAGGAGAAGAGACTGAGACCGAGCAGACCGGAAGTCTGCATGCGCGCTTCCGCCTCGGCGCTCCCGTCGGAGTAGGCGGAAGAGGGAGCTGCCGGAAATGGGAACTACCGGAAGTGAAGGTACCGGAAGATAGCTGCCGGAAGTTGAAACTACCGGAAGAAGGAGCCGCCACAGAACCGGCAGAGGGAACGAAAGCGGCCGAAGCCTTCCTGCCCTGCCCTGTGCCGGGCCGAAGCGCTGCTGGGCCGCCATGTCTAACATGGAGAGTATCCTCGGATCGACAAGCAGCTCTGTGGGGCGGGCTGGGGATATGTGGGCGGGGTGCGGTGGCGCTTTGCTCTCCGCGGCTGCCGGTCCCCTCGGAAGGCCTCGGTGGGGCTGGGCTGGGGGAGGCCTCGGCGCGGGGGAGGTATGAGGGAAGGAGTGGGCGGTGTGGTGGCCGCGTGTGGCCGAGGCGGGAGGTCGCTGCCTGAAGCCTTGATCGGGAGGAAAAGGTTTGGGGTTAATGGTGGGAGCTGAGGTTATGGTGGTTGTTAAAGGAGAATGGGAAATGCTGATTTTGTTCTGATGGTGAGCTTGGGCCTGGCTGGTTTCACTGGGGCCTGATCTATGTGACTCAGGCAGAAAACCAGTTTTCTCTGTGCTGTGCTGTGCTGTAGGACCCTGCAGATTGTTCTAAACACTGGCGACCCACAAAGCGACAGGCAGTGGCTGCTGTGCTGATGGCACGTTGCTCCTCAAGTGTTTGTTTCCTGAAGCCTGACTGCTGTCAGCTGCACAAACTGCTCTTTGTTTCCTGGTGTCAGAAAGAAAGTACAGCTGAGGAGAACCCTTATGGGTGAACTTGAGCTTTCTGGCTGTATGCAATCATCATAATACAGAGAAGTAGAAAAGGCTTAAAAGACGACAAAGATCTCAGTGTAGCTGAAGCGTGCTGCTGGTTGTTGTGGTGGGGAGAGGGGTGGAGCTTGGAGCAGGTGACTGTGAGTCACCTCATGGCTGGTGGTGGAAGTTTGGTTTCGATGAGGTTGTGCAGCTGCAAGGGAGGAGCGAGGCTGTGTCGTCATAGGAGGAAGAGCCATGGAGGTAGCAGAGTGCCAAGGGTAAATGTGTATCTGATGAGTAACTGGGGGAGTTACTTCAAAATAAGGTATTCTGAAATGCTCCTTCTCAGTGCAAGCAGGTGTGCAAGTCAGTGTAAGCAGGTGATCTCATATTTTGCCTGGTTATTCTGGTCTCTGACCCGTCGTATACTTGAATGGACTTCAGTATGTTTTCTTGTTTGGTAAATGGTCTGGTTTGTGACTCAGAGCAGTTCATTTATTGCTGCAGAAAGAAACAGCGACCCAGATTTTAAAGAAATGAACGCAAATACAAGCAGCAAATTCAGTTTTATTGTTGTTTTAGCTCCCTTAATAGTTAACAAGTCCAGATGACAGAACTGTTGCTGCTCATGTGACACAAAGATGGAAAGGCTGCTGTTTAAGCCTGAGATCATCGTTTGGCTGGGAAGGGCAGCTCTGCCTCCTGTGTTATCCTGGGTGCGGTCAGCAGAGCCAGCTTGCAGTTATCCAGGAAATTTGTCTGTTGTTCCATAACACTTTTTTGGGGTGGCTGAGGAGGATCCAGGCAGGCCAGTAAGCTGCTCTTCCATTGCTGTGCTCTTCCATTTCACTGAGAGCCAGAGGCTCAGTGTGTGTGAGTGAAAGGAGCACAGTGAGCCTTTGATTTCTCTTGGGGAGTGTCTGTTTTGTTCTATGTATCAGTCTGAATTGGATTTGCTGTTATGTGGAGCCAGCTGGGATCTGAACTGCTTTCCTATGGTCCAGTAGGATCAATAGGATGAGTGTCTGTTCTTAATGTCAGTAGAGCAGTGCTAGGGTTGGTAGCACCTTAAACAGGAGAGCAGTGTGGTAAGGAGGAAGGATCGATGCTGTTCATGGACCCCTAACTTGTGCTGCAGAACACCTGTTTAACTTGAAGTTTGCTGCAAAGGAACTCAACAGGAACTCAAAAAGATGCGACAAAGAGGAAAAAGCTGAGAAAGCAAAGATTAAGAAGGTGAGCAGTGGGGCTGAAACATCTTCAGGTCTGGTTACATTGTGTAGCAGAATCTGTTGCTGTTTCCTGGCATGCCTGCTGATAGCACTGATAAATGCTTGTGACTTAAATTGCATACTGTACGTTTTCCCATGCTTATTAATAAGTGTGAGGATGTGTTCTTCATGAAGGACTGGTGGCGTTTAGCTGCTAAGAAAATTGTCTTAGATCCGTTTTGTTTTAATTAATAAAAATATATAATAAAAATATATTGATGTGATCAATTGATGCTTTTATAAAAAAATAGGCTGTTAGAAAAACATGCTTATGAAGATCCAGGAGAGTTGGAATGCTTTTTTTCTTCTCTCATACAGGCCATCCAGAAGGGGAACATGGAAGTTGCACGAATACATGCAGAAAATGCCATCAGGCAGAAGAACCAAGCCATTAATTTCCTGCGCATGAGTGCCAGGGTTGATGCTGTGGCAGCAAGAGTTCAGACTGCAGTGACAATGGGCAAGGTAAGTCTGTTTGAATGCATCCTTGGAAAGGATTAGTCCCCTCTGATCCTCTTGGGAGGGACTGAATTCCATCTGTAATGAGCTGGAAGGCTGGTTCCACATGTGTCTGTTAATAAATTGGGTGCTGGAATCATACAGTAGGGGCATAGGATCTCCAAGGTTGGAAAAGAGCTCTGAGGTCATCCAGTCCAACTGTCCAGCTGTCACCAAGACTTCCCCTGAGCCACATCCCTCAGCACGACGTCTGCACAGAGTCTAAAGGAGCTCTGCTGGCACTTGCTCCTTAGTAATAGAGTTTCTTTGCCATGATTGTAGCTTGTAACTCGTTAATTGCTGTTATTCATGCTCCTAAGGAGATCCCTTCCCAATTACATGCAGCCATTTGTAGCACTTCTGATCCCAGGAATTGGATTCCCAGGGGAATGTGGTCACTGTGTGTGGTGGGGTGGGCTGTGCTTGGGGACCTCAGAGGGCTTTTCCAGCCTTACCTTTTTAGCTCAGGTGATCTTTTACGGTACGTGGCTGTGCTGCTGCTCAGGCACAGTTTGTGCTGCCCTGTGATCTGTGTACCTAAACACATCTGTTATCCTTTGACAGGTTTTGAGACCCTCAGAAGTTAATGCCATATTTTGGTGAATGAATGGATTTGTAACGTTTCCAATGGAAGGACCCTAAAAAAAGGGATGTTCTAGATGGCAGTAAAATATGCCCTGCTATTTGGTACTGTAGGAACTGGATAGAAGTGAGAGGGCTCAGTAAGAAGCTCATCATTTTTCCTCCTTGTGATGAATTCTTGACCTCGTTTCAGGTAACGAAGTCGATGGCAGGGGTGGTGAAATCCATGGATGCCACTCTGAAGAGCATGAACCTGGAAAAGGTAAATGGAAACTTTTTGTGGAGGTATATATGGAAAGTTCTAGGAGTTGTGCTGCTCTTCTGTTATCTGCAGCTCAGTGATTCGATTTGTATTTTTGTAGATATCTGCATTAATGGATAAATTTGAACATCAGTTTGAAACACTAGATGTGCAGACACAGCAGATGGAGGACACCATGAGCAACACTACAACACTAACAACACCACAAGTAAGAATACTAAACAAAAAACTGTGTTCAAACTGCATGGAAAAGTTACGTGCTCCCTTCTGCCTGCTTTGAGGCACCTGAAGTGTTTTCACCTTCTGCTTCTTGATGAGAAGAGAGTCGTTCAAGTTACAGCCACAGTGTGGTGGGTCCTGCAGTTGCATTTTGCTCTCTCTCACTTCTAGTAGGACTGATTTTATATTATCCATTGAGATCTTCAACCCTGCTGTGGAATGAGCAGTGCTTTGGTGAGCTCTTGGTAAAGCTTCTTAGCTGAGATACATTCTTAAGCAATGCTTAAGGTAGTTTAATGTTCCTGGCACCTGCCAGCTCCTGGTAGCCCAGAAGATGTTGAACTTCATCAGAAGTTTTGTCTGATGCTTATTGGAGACAGAGCTTTGTAAATAAACCTTAAACCACTTCTGTTGGAGATGGGCTTTCTTTCCCAGTGTGCAGAGCACTGGTTTAATGGTTTGCAGTCAGCAGTTGATAATACTGCCTTCAGAGATGTTTGCTTTGTTTGCTAACAGCTGACTGCAGTTCTTCAGGAGCATTATTTCTCAGATGCTGAAGTTCAATGAATGGGCTTTTAATAGTCAGAACTCTGCTGGTTTTTGAGTTCATGCAGAGCCCTCTGGTGGTTAAGCACAGTTTTGTTAAAGATGTTTCACTTTAAAGCAGTGTTTTGTTTTTAAAATCTGTTCTGGCAGGATTGAACAGAAGAGCTCAGCATGAGCTGCAGCAGTGCAACTGAGCCAGTTTTGTTTTCTTTTCTCTAGAACCAGGTGGATATGCTTCTACAGGAAATGGCAGATGAAGCAGGGTAGGTAACACCAACCCTTCCAGGCAGACACAGAGGTGAGGTATCAGTGCTTCAAATGTGTCTCTTGGAAGCAGACAAGTATCAGTAATTTTCCTTTCACCCCTGGCCATCAGTCACTGTTTATAACTTAGCTGTAGGTTTTTCTGTCTCTATGTCACTTGTATACATGATGTGTCTGATATATTACTGTTAAACTGAAGTCTTGCTCTGTCCTGATGCTGGTTGCCATGTGTGGCTTGTCTTGGTGGTGAAACTAGCTTCTTGATTGGGCTGTCTAATGAGCAGGTCTGCAGTGTTCATTGGGTGCCAGGGATTTCCTGCTGTCCCACTGTTGCTCAGTGTGTCACTTCCTGTACTTCTTCCTTTAGCCACGTGTGCCTGACTTTTGCTCTGGTTTTGTACTTTTCTGTTATCTGCAGCCTTGATCTGAACATGGAACTACCTCAAGGGCAGACAGGTTCTGTTGGTACAAGCGTTGCCTCAGCAGAGCAGGTAAGTTAAGACTCAATAGAAGTCAATGTTTCTAAAGAGCTGTGGAACAGAACTAATGCTTCACTCAGCCAGAGCAAACTTGCTAAATTCTAATTAGATTTTGGCAATTCAAAAGAAATAATATCTAATTAAAGCAGTTTTGCAAGCACAGTAATTAAACATACGTTTAGTTTAGTGGATGCATTAAGTTTAGTTATTTCCAAATCTTTTTTGCATGATTGTCTAATAGAGTTCCAAACTGCTGAGTCTCCGACCTCTCCAAATGTAATGAATCCTCCCATCTCCCTTTCCATACACGGAAACCTTGCTTTTTTTTTCTTTTCCCCATTTAACCTATGAAAATCTTTAAAAGATGAGTGTGAAGTGCTCTACATTTGCCCTGGGCAGCTTGGAATTTCTTGCTGGGGCTTGGACTCGATGCCATCTGCACACACGACTGCAGAACCCCACCGTGACCACGTGCTTCCCGAAAATCAGTGTTCCTTTTACTGATGGTTTCTTTGCTTTGCATCTCTGCAGGATGAGCTGTCACAGAGGCTGGCCCGCCTTCGTGATCAAGTTTAAGTTAAGCAGAGCTGCAGCCCTGGCTGTGCTGTCAGAATACTGAGGTTTCCCCCTGCACTCGAAAGGTGCGCGCAGTGCGGCGTAGGTGTTCCAATATTTGTAACGTAGGGTTCTTCACTCTGAGCTTCTCCTCTTTCTAATACATTCAGTAATCCAGAAGTATCAGCTCTCTCATGTCTTTTTCTGTACATTTTGAAGTTGATATATTTTTGGCAAGCTTTTTTTCACTGAATCAAGTTGATATCCTAAGTCAGCCAGTAACGCCGGAGCATTCTAGCTGAAAGGAAAGCAGAGTGCTATTGATAAATATTTTAAATTATGAAGTGATTTTTTTTTTTTAAATTATGAGAACTGTTTGTGGTTGGAGAACTGATACATTCAGTTCTGATGATTGTAGTAGCCAACTTTCTTATATAGCCAAGCTCCTGGAACCTTAGAGGTGGACAGTGTGGACTTCATGCAAGTACACTTGTCAAAATGAAAGAGTGGACTTTGGTCTGTGGTGGTTGTAATATGGTAAAGCTACAGTAATTGTGCAGGTTCAGTTAAAAATAAGTTACCAAAAGCTGTTTTCATGTAATTGGGAACTTGTACGGTTTGATCACTTTAGTCCAGGAGGAATAAAATATATTTTTCAACTTGGTTGGTTCTGTTGAATATTTTAGCTTGCACGTTGTTTAATGTTCAGTGCTGTAGCTTCTCCATTTTGCTTTTCTCAGCATCCTGTGGTGCAGCCAGTAGTGCCCACAGTCGTCTCTGCTTCCACCACCGTGGTGTGGAGCTCCTGCTCTCTGTTATCCTTAGGCTCAAGCTGAGAAACCCATGTGAGATAACTGAAGCCTGCTTTTCTCATTCCTTGTCATGCTTTCTCTCCATTTGTTTTTCCTTTATACGCAAGGAAAAGCACTGATCGTATCCCCTACTTCTGCCATATAAGAAACACCAAAGTGCTTTTCCTCAGGTTTGCATCCTCACAGTCATCCTTCATGAGCCAAGGTCCCAACCTTGTCCTCTCCAACCAGGGCACACTCCTGGGTCAGCTTGCTTCCTCTGCTGGTTGCAGCTGGTCTGGTATTGGAGAGAGCAAAGTGAGAACTGGGTGAGCAAGGGGGGCACAACTGCTGTGCCTCCACTCAGCTGCTGGATGAATGCATTGGTTCTGTTGGGTTGAGAACAGCTGCCTTGTTTTGTGAGGTGTAATATTGCTCTCTGCAGGTGGGGTAATGTGGTCCATAACATTGAAGTCATCTATGGAGAAGGTGGTTTGTTTTAGTTCATCTCCTTACACTTCTGCACAGTGAGAGATTCGGACTGCTTTCAGGAGCTTTCAGACTCCTGTGGCTGTGAAGTAAAGAAATGGAGGTAGAAATTCATAGCAGAAACTACTTGTGGTGTGTTGTGGTAAGTGGTGATGTTAAAAATTTCTTCCTGACTTTTTTGGAATCATTTTTTGTAGGTGTGAGGAAGATGTGAAGCACCATAGACTTAGAATTCTTAATTCACCGGTGCTGAGGACCATGCAGACTTGCCAGCATTGGGGAAATGTTTCAGTTAAAAACTGCTTACTTTCTTTTAGTCAGCAGGATTTTTTTTCAGTGAAAATGGGCAAAAATGAGGAAACTGTGGAGCTGTTTCAAGCCATTTTTGATGTGCTGCTCAGTCGCTTTGGAGGCGTAGCAGGATGTTACGTGCTGAGGTATTCAGGGCACAAAGCATGGAAAATCAGATAAAGCAACCTGAAATGTGGGTTTGTATCTCAGGCTGGCAGCCTGAATTTGAGTGATTTAAATGTGCACTTTTCCTGTATTTACACTTAAGTTCAGTGCAGCCTTCTTTCAAACACCTTTCAACGTTCCTCCTGCAAATAGGAGAAGCTGGAAGGTATTTTAGAGATGATACACTCTTAACTGTAGGTACAATCCTTTAAAACCATTAAGGTAAATGTATGCTACCCCTTTTTCCCTCCTAGCTACTCCTGAACAGCATGACAAAATGGCAGTGGTGTATCTATGCAACCAGGTTACCCACAGCTGTGGAAACTGCTGGTGTGTGTGCCTTCATCCTGGTGCACTTGGTGTACTTGTTGACACTCAGTTACTTCAGATCTCGTGACAGGACTGGAAGCTGCTGCTGTGTAATAAATGCACTAAATCTGAGCGTGCTTTGCAGTTGGTTGTTGGTAGGGCTGTACCATAAGCTCAGGATTCCTTGTGTTTGGCAACCTGCTGTGTTGCACAGAGCTGGGCAGACTTGGCTGATAAAGCAAAGAAGGTTGGGACCAGGAGGAATCTTTGCCCCGCTGCTTCAGCTTTGAGCATTGCTGTGTGTGAGTGTTGCCAGCATCGTGCACCAGTTGCTTCTGCGTGTAGATCTGCCTTCTCCTGGGCAAGGAGCCTGTGTGTGTGAGCTGCCCTTCACCACGTTGCAGGAGTTGCATTTGTAATGTCTGCATGTTTCTCCAGTGTTTTGCAAGTGCTTAAAACTGGAACTTCAAGCAATATTTGACTCTGGTCTAATTCTTCCATTGGAGTTCTCCTGGAAACGTTTGGTTTTTTTTTTCTGACCCACTGTGGCTCTTTGCTTTTACGTTCCTGGTGTCTCTTGTGAGATGATGGTGTACTTCTGCAGCAGTCTGCTTTGTGTTAAATAAATTGTATGAGCATTTATGCAACCTCTTTACCAAACAGTGCTTCAGTATTTGTACTTATGAGCAGGCACATCTAAGGTGAAACGTTGCTTCAGGGTGGTTTTGCTCACTGTTTAATTCCTGATTTACTATAGACTGTAGTATCTTTGTGTTATGCTTCCAACTGCTCGTGTCCAGGCAGTCTTCATTCATTTGGATTCCACAACAAAGCCATGAAAAGATCCAGCTGAAAGGAGAAGGGAGGAAAGGAACGAAAAGAAATCTCAGTGCCAACGGGAGAAGATCATCACTCTGCCTTTGTGGAGACCCTCAGAGCCCAGAAATTTTGTTACATATGGTCAGCAACGATGTACAGAGACAAATTCTGAAGTTGGTGACGTTGTATAGAGAAGAGAATAATTTTTGTAGCTTGGCAGTGTTCATGATGGAAACAGCTTTACTTGTTATGGGACAATTTGTAACTGTAACTGCAACTGGTAAATAAAACTGTACAGCCAAATGACTTCAGGTTGTGTTGCCCAGGCTGTGGATGGTTTCTGGCATGGCTCTGTGCGGGGACAGATGAGCGGCGTGTCGTTGGTGTGCTGTCCTTAATGCACACAGTGGGAAAACTGGCAGCTGCTGGTGGCTGAGTTGGTCCTCTGTGGAGATAAGGTTTATTTTCTCCTTCCATCGTTGTTTGGGACCCAGCAGAGGGAGCCTTGAGCTCTGCTTTTGTGTGGGTCCAACAGAAATCAGCATTTCGTTCTTACAGGGGGGCTTTGGCAGCCCTGCGAGCTGCTTTGAGCTCTTTGTCTCATGGGGACCCATTGGTTCCGGATGGCATCTCTGCCGTTTCATACAGACAGAAGCACACTGTGGACTGATGGAAAATAGGATTTAACAGAAAGTTTCGTTTTTGTTTTCAAAGGGTGTGTTGAGATTTTGATGGAGCACGTGGTGGCTTTGCTTCAGGACTCCATAGAGCACAGTTTTCTGCTGTCAGCGTTGGCATGTCTGTCAAGCTATATTTTCTCCATGAAATCCCAGTGAGGTCAGTGGCCTTCCTCGTGTCAGAAGCAGCTCTGTTACCATTCAGATAAAGGAAAAGAGCAACGTGAGCAATCTGCAGCTGATTCCAAGTGCCATCGCCCTGCCTGACACGGAAGAAGACACAGTCGCTGTGCTGTGGGATGTGAGCTCTTTGGGAAGCCCTGCAGTGTCCTCCAGCAGGGGGCTGGGGCAGACTCACTGCTCTGTTTGTTACTCATCCTTCTCAGCCTTTCTGCTCAGACAGACTGCGTGCATTGGTAAGGAGAGCCTGAAGTTGTTAGCTCGAAATGAAATAACTGTTTCCCCGAAGTCTAAAGTCATAAATCAGACATGCAAGCTTATCCGACAAGATAACAATCAGCTTAATTTAATTTCCCCACTATCTGCTTCGTAATACTTTGTTATCATCAATTTCTGTCTGAAGGAGCTGGCAGGGGTAGGAAAGCATTTTGAAACATTCCATGAAGACATCCTCTCCCCATGCATTCTTTCTATGTATATCGTTGCTTGTTTTTAAGAACTCTCCTTTTATTCCCAAGAGGTAACGCTGCCATCCTGCTGGGATGTTTGCTTTGGTGGGGGTGGCAGTGCTCCATTCCTCTCCTCTCACTGCACACTGGATCCACGTTGGCTGCTGAGCGCGTCGGTTCCGACCCCGGATGGAGCCCAGCACTGACTGCAGGCTGTAGGAAAGCTGCCAGTCCCCTTTGGAGTGTTGTCAATTAGTTCCAGTCTCCCGGAGCTGGCCGTGACCAATCGCTGTGACCTGGAAGTGGATTAAGTCCATCACAGGGAGATGGACTTTTCCTGCAGTAATTTGACAAACGCAGTCTTTTTTTCCTTCTTAAAGTCCCGTGTAGAAGCTGTGCCTCATTTGCTCCCTGGTGATGGACGTCGTTTCCGGATCGAAGCGATAACGATTATCCAGATTGCTGCTGATTGGTGTAGCAGGTGCCTTAATTTATTAATGCCAGGAGAAGAGAGGGATTTGATGGCAATGAGAGGAGGGCTCCTGGCAGCAGCTGTGGATCACAGTGCTCCCTGACCCCCTTGCCCCACTGCAAGCACTTAAGAACCTGATATCTCCATAAACTCACATCCATTTCTGCACCAGAGATGTCTGTGGGGTTAGAATTATTAATACCTATCAGCCTGGCGTGGCTCTGGTTCAGTAAGATGCACAGATGGAATTCAGCCGTTGCACCCACTGTTGACTTTTGCCACTTTGGAGGCTTTTGCCTTTGCTGGAATTACTGCCTTGCCACATTTGCATGCTGTTGCATACAGAAGGAGGCATTTGGACTTAATTTTTGGCGCTGCTGTGTGTTAATCAGCCAAGGTACGGCCTGCTCCCGGGCTGCGGCTGTTTGCAGGCACGGTGGGATGGAGATGTGTCGGCACAGCTGCTGAGCACATTGAACAGGGAGCAGTCAGTCACACTCCAGGAGTTTTAATTGAATTACCTTTGACAGTGAACAGCAAACCTGGTGGGTGATCTACTAAATTAAACTGATGAATGGGCTCCCGAAAATCAATTAGCGCACGGGGCTGAGAGCACGAGCACATCCTGCTGCTCCGCAGGGACCGAGCGGGGCCGGACTGACAGCAGCAAATGTGAGACAAAGTGAAAGCATGCATCTGCCTCTGCTGACCTCTGCTCCAGCATGAAAGCAAAACAGGAGCTGGAGGAATCCGCCAGTAAATCACCGGAGCTCTGTTCTGCAGAGCTGATACAGGATGCTTCCAACCCTCTTGATTAATGCTGGGCTGTGTGCTGAGGAAAGATGTGGAGGCTGCAGAGACACAGCAAGGGAGAACAGCTGGCAGCTCTTTGGTTTTCAGCTGCTCGAAGAGGGATCCTCTAATGCTGCTGTAGTGCTGTGGATGGGCTCTGTCTGCAGCCCTGAGAAGCTCTGCTGCCTGGTGCTGGGTGGGGGCTGCCCCAATGCTGTGCCCAGC